CATCAAGCATATCTTCCCCATCAAACATGCCAGCTTCACGAAATTGGATTTCTTGCCCGCCAGGTCAGAAATCGCATGTTACAGTATCGAGAAATTGCGGTACCAATGTACTACTTCAAACCACCGCTATTTTCAGCCGGCCATTTTCAGGTGCATGCAACTTAGCCTAGGAGCGCTATTCGAGTGCATGCCAGGTTATTGTGCATGTGAATACACGTTTCTCAGGTTAAACAGTTGCTTCCGTAAATGTACAACTCACCGAAATTCGATTCGAATTGGCACAAAAGGTCTGAAATAGATGCAATTTCGGGCAACGCGAATCGGAATCGGAATGTTTGGCTCTCGATGCTGCATTTTCCGACGTCACTCAGTGCAATGAATGCATTTTTGCTTCGTAAAATTACGGGAAACATTGTTTATCCTGAGAAACGTGTATGCACCTGCACAATCACCTGACATGCACTTGAATAGCGCTCCTAGGCTAAGTTGCATGCACCTGAAAATGGCCGTATTTTCAACTTCCCACCCTGGCTGTTTCCGCTTTTCATATGAACCCTGCCCTACTTTCGGGGGTTTTAGTTAGACACCTAGATATGGAGGGCTATGAATGACGTCAAATGCTGGATGCTTGAAATTTCAATCAGGCGAGTGTAACAACACTTTCCGCTCCTGTTAATTCTGTTTTTCTGTTGCGCATTCCTTTGTGTAGCTTTTGAAGCACACTCACCACCAGACACCGAACCGCGGCCTGTCTGACAGGAGTGCTGTGCTGTGAGCGAACCAAGCAAGCACCCCCGCCTGCCCCGCAACGACTCTTTTCCCTCGCACACCCACGAACGACAGACAGCATATCAACGCCTCTGGCTTGCATCTTACAGACCACCTGATTGAGCCCCACTGCTCACCTCCACCCAAACATGCCCATGTCACCTTTGCCTGCATTCACTTCACCTGTGTTCACAAGATTTATGATTCCACCAGCGAACAGCTGTTCCAGTCTAGTGCTGCCCATGCAGTATGCGTACAGGTTGTGCTCTTTGTGGAAGGACGGAGAAAAACGCGGAGTTTGCTTCGCGTTTCAGAGAGTCATCAGCGCAACCTAGGTTCACCCACATGTTCTCTGTTGGTTTGTTGATTGATAAACTGTAGAGACAGATGATTGTTTTTTCGGGGTGCAATTCTTTGCACCCCACCCGCCCTCCAGCGCACTGGATGGGATGGGGTACAGTATCACGCCCAGCTGGGCAAACTTTGACCGTCGACGCCAGCGCGACGCCGCACGTTCTTGTCTCGACATGAGGTGATTAATGTCTTGCGCTATGCTGCTGAGCTGCTAAAGGCGGGTCCGAAGTGAAGTCGACATCCGTTGACATGCGATGTCGGTAAATCATGACGGTTGGAACTCTCGATCCAAGGGTTGAAATTTACCAACATCCGTCGATATCCATTCGACGCTTCACTTTGGACACGCTCTAAATAACGCTGCGTCGCTGAGCAACTGCGAGAGAAGCCTCGCTGCTGGAAAGGCACGTGCACCACACGGCGCCGTGCCATGCAATGCGACAGACGCGTTGGCCAAGTCATCATCTCACACGTCACACGATCCGATCGGAACCGAAACCCTTGCTATGCGATGCGAGATATCAATTACTGTATCACATCACAGCGACGATTGCGTTTTATGGGGAATACTGTATCGTAGGCTCAACCCGAAACGTTAACCTAGATGTCTTCAGGACGACGATTAAGGCGGCTGCGCTGTCATCACACATGGTTAAAGGCGTGTACAAAGTGGTGCACAAACTCGACGTCGAGGGACATCGGTGAATCCTGACGGTTGGAACCTTTGATCCGAGGGTGGAAATTCACCGACGTTGCTCGACGTCGAGTTTTTGCGCACTTTGCACACGCCATCAGCCTACTAGTCACACCGTTGACCATCCCGAAGGCCTGCGCCTCAGAGGGAAAACGTCGTCTTGACCAATTGTTGGCTAATCTTGAAGATTCTAAAAAAGCGACCTCCTGTTCGTTCAAGCACGGAGCAACGTCACGTCGCGATTCGCGAACGTCCCCTTTGACCGTCAGTCATTTCGACCATCAGTCATCTCGACCATCAGTCAGTCATTTCGACCATCAGTCCTTTCGACCTCGTGTTTGCCGTCGTCTACAAGCAACGTCGCCAACGCCGCTCAACGCCCGGGCGGCGCACATTTCAGAAACTTTCGGATTCGGGAAGTCACTTCACGGTGTAGTTGTCGAATTAGTTACGACTCATCTCAAAATTCACCAATAGTATCGCTAGTAGCAGATCATCGGGTAATAATGGGCGGCCACGATGCGTTGTCGCGTGTCGCCACACACGGCGACACGTACTGTACAGGGACTGATGTATCCGAAACAAGCTTTCCCGCATTATCTCCCGTCGGGCCTCCCGCCACACATCCCGCCGTAGTTCCCGCCGCATCTCCCGTTCCCTGGCGCGAGCGAGATGGCGCGGCGGCGGCGGAGACGGACATGAGATGGGCTGTAGCGCGCTTCGCGGCGTCTCCTCGTACCCCTAAAAGGAACCCCGCTCTTAGTACTACTACTACTACCACCAGAAATTCTGCCGCTACGAATCAGGCCGCGCGCAGGGGATCTCCGCGACAGCCAGCGGACAAAGCGGTTTGCGCAACACGGGAGGAAGATCCGCAGCCGCCGTTTGACTCGCCTGCGCGGGGGTCTCCGAGGCAACCCGCGAGAAAAGCGTTTTGCGCGGCGCGGGAGGGTGATTCGCGGGAGTCGTTAGAGTCGCCAGCGGCGCGAGGGGGGGCATCGTTGCAGCAATGCGGCGGCGAACGGGAGAAAGGCGACGTGAGGAGATCGTCGGATTCGCATACATCGATTGCCACGCCAGCCGTTGAGGCAGCGCGGAAGGTATCTTCGCAGCAATGCGGCGGCGCGAGGAGGAAGGAGAGGAGATCATTTGATTCGTGTGACCTGCTTAAAACGCCCGCCGTCGAGGCCGCGGTCGGTTCGTCGCTCTTGAGAATTCTCAAAAGCGAGAGGAGGAAGGAGAGGAGGAAGGAGAGGACGGAGGAGAGGACGGAGGAGGGGACGGAGGAGAGGACGGAGGAGAGGACGGAGGAGGGGACGGAGGAGAGGACGGGGGAGAGGGGGTCGTTGGATTTGTGTGACCTGCTTACAACGCCAGCCGTTGTGGCGGCGGGGAGTTTGTCTCTTCAAGCGTCATGCGGCGGGAAAGAGAGGGAGAAGAAGGGGGGGTTGACGAATAAACTGCTGAAGGAGCAAAAAAAAGGGGAATTTTATGAAGGGGCATCGCCTGGCAAGGGAAGGCCGGCCGTGGTAGGTAGTGTCGCGAGGGCCAAGGAGCGAGAGACGAAGGAGTTGACAGATAAGCTGCTGACGGAGTTATTTGAGAGAGCACGGAGTGACATCGAGGGAGCACTGAGTGGCATTGAAGCAGCACCTAGCGGCAAGGTTAGCCCGCCCGCTGTGAGTAGCGCGAGGGTCAGGGAGCGGGGAAAGAAGGAGCTGACAGATATGCTGCTGAAGGAGGCCTTCGAAAAAGCACCGAGTGGCATCGAGGGAGCACCGAGTGGCAAGGGGCGGCCGCCCACGGCAGGTAGCGGCACGAGGGCCCAAGGCAGGAGGAGTAGTATTGGGTCGCTGGCAGAGCTGCGCCAGCTGGCAAGGCCAGAGCATGGGGATCTGATGACGCCGCATGGGCAGCTGATGAGAGAGCATGAGCGGCAGCAGCACAAGGAGCAGGCGAAGAGTGGTAACAGTGGGCCGTTGCGCGCGTCTCCCTCCGCCCGTGGGAACCACAGGCGGAGCAGGAGCACGGGGGAGGTTGATGCGCCGTTTGAGTCGACCCAGCAGGCGCAGCAGTCGTCTCGCAAGGCGTCACCCTCCGCCCATGCCCGCCACAGGCAAAACAGGAGCACGGGGGATGACGCTGCGCCGTTTGAGTTGATCCAGCAGAGGCAACAGTTTTCTCGCAAGGCGTCACCCTCCGCCCATGCCGTACACAGGCGCAATAGGAGCGTGGGGGATGATGCTGCGCCTCTTGACGCTGCGCCTCTTGATGCTGCGCTTGCAGTACGACCCAAGAGTCGCTTAAGGAATGGGAATGCACCTGCAGCATCGCATGTATTGCCATTGGTGAGCGACGAGGAGGGCGAGGAAACTTGCACTGGCAACCGCAAATCACCTCACGCAGACAAGCAGGCAGGCAAGCAGGCAGGCAAGCAGGCAGGCAAGCAGGCAGGCAAGCAGGCAGGCAAGCAGGCAGGCAATCAGGCAGATTCTGGGAGAGTGATGAGTCTTGGAGCGGTGGTTAGGAGCCCGAGAGACGAGTCCTTTGACGCACAAGGCGAGGCGGAAGTAGGGAATACAGAGGGTGAGGGTGAGGGAGAGGGTGAGGGTGATGGTGAGGGTGATAGTGAGGAAGATGTAAGCGGAAGTCATATTTTGAGACGTCTCAGAACATTACTTGTTTCTCGTGATGGTGATAGAGGCGAAGATGTAAGCAGAAGTTTTCCCAGCTGCAAAGGTCTGTCAGAGGCACGCTGCTATGGTGAATCTCTTTGTGCCGCAGCCGTTCTTCCCTCTGCTCCACGTTCGGAACAGCCGCAGTGTTTCTCCCCCAATGTGATTTTCGAGGCGCCTCAAAATCCTCCTCGTGCCACAGCCGTCCCTCCCTCTGCTCCGCGTCCGGACCAGCCGCAGTGCTTCTCCCCCAATGCAGCCCCGCCCGGGCGCCTTGCATTGTCACTCAAAGCACTCGTTGGCAGGTTGACGTTCGCCCGCCCACGTGGGGATGGCAGCAGAGGAGGGGAGAGGAGGGCGGGTGGTAACGGCGGTGGTAACAGTGGTGGTAACGGCAGTGGTGGCGGCGGCAGCAAAGCTGGTGGGTTCAAGGAGGCACCAACAGCCACACATGAGCTGCAGCGCGGTAAAACTATAAAACAGAGGGGTGAGAAGGCAAGTGGTGCTGCTCGTCTGACCAGCAAAAACTGCGAGGAAGCTTCCTCCACGGCACCGGGGGATACCATGCAACGACCCCCGTCCCAAGGCAGAACTGCAGCAGCAACGGCAGCAGCTGCGGCAGCAGCAGCGGCAGCCGTGGCATTGGCGCCAACAGCGCTTGAAGCACCTGCGGCACCCGCAGACCTAGTGCCTGTGAAGCAACGGCGCATGAGACCTTGCAGTGCAGGGAAACATGGTGCAGGCGCAGGCGCAGGCGCTGGCGCGGGGCCAGGTGCAGGGGCAGGTGCAGGCGACGGGGCAGGTGGTACAGACGGGGAGGCAGGTGCAGGTGCAGGCGTGGGGTCAGGCGGGGGGGCAGGGGGCTGTGATGCAGCAGGCACACATGTCCCCCAAGTATCACCAGGCGGGCGGCTCAGTGGCCAAGCTGTTTCAGACCAGCCGGCGCTTGCTGACCAGACGGAGCTTGCCAGCCAGACGGAGCTTGCCGGCCAGACGAGGCTTGCCGGCCAGATGAAGCTTGCCGGCCAGACGGAGCTTGCCGGCGAGACGAAGCTTGCCGGCCAGATGGAGCTTGCCGGCAAGCTGGAGAACGCCGGGTGGCGTGATACAGCAGGTGGGAGGCACGGGCGAGGCTGGGGAGGCCTGCAGCAGATGCAGCAGCGTTCGCAGCACAATGGGGATGCTGACCTGTACCAGCAGGCTTACCAGCAGGTTTGCCAGCCAGAAGCTTATCAGCCAGAGGTGCAGGCAGAGCCAGAGGCTTATCTACCACAGGCAGCCGCACAGGCATATGCACGTGAGATTTTTCAGCCAAGGGCTTACTCGGGAGGCATGTCCGCGGTGATTCCCCTCAACAACCGCAATCACGATTTGTACGGGCAGGTTCATCTGCCCGAAGTGCAGATACAGGAAGAGGCATGGAGACGGTTACAGGAAGAGGCATGGAGACCCCCAGCAGCACCAGCCGCAGCGGCAGCAGCACCAGAAGCAGCTACTGCGGCTGAAGTGGCAGCAGCAGCAACCGCAGCGGTGGCGGCGACAGCGGGAATGGCGGGGGCAGTGGCGGTGCAGCGATGGTTGCATTCTGCGGATTTCACAGCCTGGCATGTGGAGAAAGAGGTGGAGTGGGATGAGAGTGGGTGTGAAGGGGTGAGCACGTGGATTGGGAGAAGCACATGGGAGGGGAGCACGTGGGAGGGGGGGAGTGTGTGTGGAGGGTGCGGTGTGAGCCCGTGGGTGCATACTCCCTGCCACCACACCCTTTTTGAGTTTCAGGAGGATATATCAGTATCGGAAGCAGCTGAGCTTTGGAGGTACAATGGGCTGCATTCAAGTAGATTGCATTCAAACGGACTGCATTCAAATAGATTGCATTCAAACGGACTGCATTCAAATGGATTGCAACCAGTGGGACCGGTATCTTCCTCCTCGGCTGTGCAGCACCCAGGTGTTCCGCAGTGGTAGTATTCTATCGAGCAAGGTCCGATACAAGGGTCTAATTTCACGCAGCAAATGGAGTTGGACCAGCAACAGTAAAAGGACGGATCATGGTTAGGAGGAGGCGACACCATAACTGTGCAACCAGGTGCGTTTGCAGTATAATAATGCTTATTCATGTGGTTCGCCAGCCCAAGACGAGTGCACCGTGAACTGTGGTATGCCACCAGTGCTCAAGTGATAAGATATCCCTGAATATATCAGTGTCATAAAATTAGTTGAGCAATCAACAAAATGCTCAAGAGATAAGCTTAGCTAACATGTTTTGTTGGTTGAAATAAACAGTGCATTTCGTAACTCGTCAGTTCGCCTCGCATTTGTATGGTTACCCACCAAACCCACCTCCCTCCCGAATACCCAAACCCTAGAAACAAGAAATCCTAAACCCAGGCGTACTTATTTCCCAAGCCCTAGTATTTCGTACTTATCAAGTGTGTTGGGCTCCGCTCCGTTTACCGTCGCACGCCGTCGCCAGTCGTCGTTGACGCCTTCGCCGTGCAGTCTGCGGTACGCCTTGTCCCAGTCGCATAGCTCGAGTCGTGCTACGTGTCACCCTTCATTAGTTCGTTCCAGACGTTGCTTAGAAGCAGTCTGCTGTAGCAGGTGCACAAGGCATTACTGAAGGATTCTCGCTGTAGTAGGTGCTTTCGCCTTGTGTAGGCAATTCCAACCGCACCCTCATATTCGCTGGGATTCCACCTTTAGTGTGCAGAGAAATTCGGCTACATTCAGAACCCGCGCTTCGTTCAGCGGCAAGCTAGCGGCGCGTTGTCAGAACCTAGTATCGAGTCGCTCATCGGCGCAGCGCGATGAGATTAGAGAAGTGCTGGTTCTGCTCGTCGACCGTGTATCCCGGTCACGGCATCTGCTACGTGCGCAATGACGCCAAGGTGATGTGAAATCCGTAACGGACCGTTCGGTGGAGGCCCTAGCGGACTCAATCCGTCGAATTACCACACCTGGTAGCCTCATGCGCAAGAATATGTGGATTCTGTTCGCGCCGCTACACCTAACTCCTCGCTTTTGTTTTTGGGTTGGTTAACATATCCCCCCCCCCCCCCCCCCCCCCCCTCACCCCCACCTTCCTTTAATTTTTTTCCTTTCCGTGTGGCTTGCGGGCAGGTGTTCCGGTTCTGCCGGTCCAAGTGCCACCGGAATTTCAAGCTGAAGCGCAACCCGCGCAAAGTGCGATGGACCAAGGCATACCGCCGTCTGCACGGCAAAGACCTCGCCTCCGTGAGTTCCCGCCCACCGCCCCTTCCGCCCCGCCCCTTTCTCCCCGCCCCTTGCCCCTTGCCCGCCGCCCCTTGCCCCTTCCCCCTTGCGCACGAGAGTCTGAGCTCATGCCCACCCTGCTTGCCCCAAACCCCATCCATCCACACCTCCCCGCATCCCACCCCACCCTTCCACCCTCCCTACTTCCCATCCTCATCTGCGGTTCGAATCCTTCCTACTCTGCAAGAGGACACGGCGTTAGAGATGGAGCGGCGGCGCAACCGCCTGAGCGGTACGATCGCAACGTGGAGGGCCCCCACAAACCCCCAACCCTCTCTCTCTCCCACGCAACCCACCCCCCACACCACCACAACCCCCCACCCCCTCTCCTCCCCCCCTCCCTCCCTTTCACCCGCAGGACACGGCGTTTGAGATGGAGCGGCTGCGCAACCGCCCTGAGCGATACAATCGCAGCGTGGTGGCGACGCGAGGCAGAACTCACGCTCACTCTGCTTTACCACCACACCCCCCTCTCCCCCCCTTCTTTCCCCCCACCCATCTCATCCCTCTTTCAGGACACAACGTTTGAGATGGAGCGGCGGCGCAACCGCCCCGAGCGGTACGACCGCAACATGGTGGCATTGAGAGACGCTCTTGCCCCCAACCCCAACCCCAACCCCCCAAACCCCACCCACCGTCCCTTCCTCCTCCCCTCAGGACACAACGTTTGAGATGGAGCGGCGGCGCAACCGCCCCGAGCGGTACGACCGCAACGTGGTGGCGACGAAAGGCTTGATACTCTGATGTTTTGAGACGTCTCAAAACATCTCTTTTATAACGTGGTGGCGACAAGAGGCTTGATACTCTGGTCTGGTTTCCCCCAAAACCCACTCATCCACACCTCCCCAAACCGCACGGTCCGCACCTTTACACCCATGAAACGCAGGACACTACTTTTGAGATGGAGCGGCGGCGCAACCGGCCCGAGCGGTACGATCGCAACGTGGTGGCAACGACGGTGGCGGCGATGAAGCGCATTGACGAGCTGCGCGTGAAGCGCCAGGCCAAGTTCTGGGAGAAGCGGTGAGTGCGGTGGGGCGCAAGTGGTGAGTGCGGTGGGGGGGAAGTGGTGAGTGCGGTGGGGCGGAAGTGGTGAGTGCGGTGGGGCGGAAGTGGTGAGTGCGGTGGGGGGGACAAGGCGCTGAGGAAAGGCAGTGAGGCGGTGAGTTGGTTGAGGGGGTGGTTGAGGGGGTGGTTGAGGGGGCCAAGGCCCAGCACAGCAGCACTTGCAGCCGACCCCTCACTCACTCCACTTCATCCTCCCTCCCTTCCCGCATTCTTTCCCCGCCTCTAGCTTTCCCCCTTGCTTTGAGCAAAATGAAGGTGAAGACCAAGGAGGAGCGGCGGCAGGCGCGCCAAGAACTCGAATTCGGAATACACCTGGTGAAGGCCCCAGCTGCCCTCGCAGCCATTCCCTCCCTCACTCTGTCTCATCCTCCCTCCCTCCCCTGCTTCCGTTCCCCGTCCTCTCCCTACCTCCCCCAAACAGAATGAAGGTGAAGACGAAGGAGGAGCGGCGGCAGGCACGCCAAGAGCTGGAAACCGGAATCCACCTGGTGAAGGCCCCAGCAGCCCTCGCAGCAGACCCGTCCCTCACTCTCCCCAAGCCTCTCTCAACGCTCTCTGCATCGGTGGCGGAGCAAGCAGCCAAGGAGAAGGCGATTGCAGTGGCCATGGAGGAGGGCGAGGAGGTGGGAGGAGAGAGAGCGGCAGCAGAGGCCAAGGCGGAGAGGGCAGTAGAGAGGAAGCTGAAGGGGAAGATGAAGGTGAAGGTGGGGCGGGTGAGAGGTGCTGTGATGGATGCGGATATGGAGGGGTGAGCAGGGGGAGCAGAGTGAGGGGAGTCGGGCCGAGTGAAGGGAGTCAAGCCGAGTGAGGGTTGTTGGTGTGCTGCTCTCAGAACCCTCGTCAAGTTACTGTTTTTGGTTGGAAGACTCAGGAAAGGAAACGAGATCTTCTTTGCCTGTCCTGTACAGCACTCTGTAATTCCTCTGGCGCCCAAGTCATAAAGAAGCTGGAGCTTATTATGCATTATACAAAGTCTCTTTGATGTGCATTACCATTGAATCATGCTGTCTGACTGGAGTACTGCAAATTGTCATCAGTTGTAGTAGTACCATAGCAGCTTTTACCATAACAAGTCACACCACCACTCACAAGTTTGCCTAGAATTAAACAAAAGTGTACAGTAGTCACACATTCTCACTGGTACCAATAATCAGCTTGGAGTATTCTTCTATCGCAGCAGCTTCTAGTGAAACATCCAGATCGTACTCAGCATAGGGATCCCCACTCACTCCCTTCCTTATTTCTCCTTCCATCTCCTCATCCCTCTCCCCCTCCTCCTCCTCACTCCCCTCGCTCCCTCCCTCACTCCCTTCCCCTTCCTCAACATCCATCCCCCCTTCTCCTCCACCTCCCTCCGTCCCCTCTCCCCCTGTCCCGTTCCCCCCATCCCCTGACCCTCCTTCCCCACTGCCCCCGCCCTCCCCAATGCCAGCCTCCCCATACTCCCCTTGCAGCAAAGCTGCTGCTGCTGCTTCCACGTCGTTACTGCTGCCCTCTAGGGCTTGTCGGGCTGGAGATAGGGAGGGGTGTGTGTGGGTGGGAAGGTGTGGGGAGGGGAGGATAAGTGCCACGTTTGATGTTGTTCTCTAGGGCTTGTCGAGCTGGAGATAGGGAGGAGTGTCTGTGTGTGGCGAAGGGAGAGAATGGGGGAGGCAGGTGGATGGAGATGGGGGGGGGGGGGGATGAGCATGACATGGTATGGTGTGGCATGGATCGGCATGGTATGGTGTGGCATGGATCGGCATGGTATGGTGTGACATGGATCGGCATGGCATGGCATGGCATGGCATGGTGGAGGATGAGGGTACCTTGGTGAGCAGAGAAGCCTAGTGCCACCAGCGCTGTCTCCGAGTCATCTGAACACACGTCACCAGTGCCACCAGCAGCAGCACCAGTGCCACCAGCAGCAGCACCAGTGCCATCAGCAGTGCCTGCTGATCCACCAGAACCACTCCTGAGGAGGTACCTTGACGGAGGTGCAGGAGATACCTACCTTGGTGAGCAGAGAAGCCCAGCGCCACCAGCGCTGCCACTGAGTCATCTGAAGACATGCCTCCAGCAGCAGCACTACCACCACCTCTGCTGTGCCTCCTCCTGCTGCCATCTGCCTTCCCATCTGCCACTGCCACCTGCACGCACGTGGGAGTGTTGACGAGCGCAGGGGAGAGAGTAAATGGATGGAGGCACCGTCAACGCAACTCAGGAATCATCGACTTTTGAGGCGCCTCAAAAGTCGCAGGGGAGAGATTAAATGGATGAAGGCACCTGTCGCACCTGTCACACCTGTCACACCTGTCACACCTGTCACACCTGTCACACCTGTCACACCTGTCACACCTGTCACACCTGTCACACCTGTCACACCTGTCACACCTGTCACACCTGTCACACCTGTCACACCTGTCACACCTGTCACACCTGTCGCACCTGTCAACGCAACTGAGGAGCCATCGCATTGATACCTGAGAGCGTGGTGGTGTGTGGAGGAGTGCTGAGGGTTGAGGAGTGAGGGTGGGAGATTTGACCCGAGAGCAGTAAGGGAGCTTGGGTCAAGAAGGGCGTCTAAGGCCCTTTGGTGGTGGTTAAGAAGCAGTAGAGACAGGCAGAGAGCGGTAGAGATGGGCAGAGAGCGGCAGAGATAGGCAGAGAGGGTGGACTTGCCTCGAGGGCAGCGAGGGAGGTGGGGTCAAGAAGCGCGTCTAGGGCCCTCTGGTGGTGGTTCTCACTCTGCCTGAGTGCCTCTGCTGCTACCCGCCGCGTGAAGCTGCGATGGTGGGGAGGCACACAGCGGGGTGGAGAGGGGTAGAAAGGGGTAGAGAGAATAAACTTGTCTCAAAGGCAGCGAGGGTTTCTAGGGCCCTCTGGTGATGGTTCTCACTCTGCCTCAGTGCCCCTGCTGCCACCCGCCGCGTGAAGCTGCGATGGTGGGTAGAAGCAGGGGAATAGAGTGAAAGAAGAGCAATGGGGGATGCAATGAGCAATGGGGGATGCAATGAAACAGGTGATGGGGAATCGAGCGAAGTGAGAACGTTTTTGTTGAGGCATGGGACGGAAACTAGACTGGACAGATCAGCAGATGTGGAATATGGGTAATCCCTCAAATCCTGCACTCTCTAATGATCCGAGTGACGTCAGCATGACGTCATCCGCTTGCCCACTCACCCGTATGCTGCCAGCTCGTCCAGCAGCCGCATGTCCACCTTCTTGCCACGTGGCGTCCTCCCATAGGCCCGCTGCTCCCTGCAACATGCCATGCACATGCCACACCCCATAGCGGTTTGGCAGCACAACAGACGCACGCATGAACATTCACATGCATCATGCGTGCTCAGTACCCAAAGCATTCGTTCCTCGAAGGACAGCGAAGCACAACGAAAAACACTCAGTGTGCCTACTCAGACTCAAACGCACACTCAGTGAGTTGACTTTTGAGTCGACTCAAAATGTGCCTACTCAAACGCACACTCAGTGCGCTTGATATTCCATTCCATTCCATCCCATACCTGCTTCCCACACTCAAACGCACTTGATATCCCCATCAAGTGCGGATACTCCTTCCATCCCCTCCCTACACGCACCTCTCCATCCGCCTCTGCCTTCTGTCCTCTTCTGCCTTCTCTGCCTCCCGCTGCCGTTGCAAGATGACAAACTCCGCCGCCCGGCTCACGTCACCGCCCGCCACACGTAGTGCACGCCTCGCCTCATTGGCCGAGAAGCCCATGCCTGCCAGGCTAGCCAATGAATCGTCTGAAACCTGCAGCTGAGGTGGGGAACGAGGGGGAAGGAGAGGGCATGCGGGGGGGTGAAGGAAGATGACACAAGGATGAAAGGGGATGACGGAATACCATAGGAAGAAGGTGAATAGGTCGGTTGTTGGGAAGCCCATGCATGCGATGCCAGGCTGGCCAATGACTCGTCTGAAACCTGCAGCTGAGGTGACGTGATGAGGGGGGGAAGGGGGAATGAGGGGGGATGAAGGGGGATGAGGGGGAATGAAGGGGGATGAGGGGGAATGAAGGGGGATGAGGGGGAATGAAGGGGGATGAGGGGGGATGAGGGGGATTGAGGAGTTGTGAGGGGGGAAATGAGGAGAGATGCGATAAGGTGAGATATGAGAGTGTGAAGGGCTACATAATCTATACAGAGCTGGAGAGTGAAATGATGAACGACTGAAGTGATTAGGCTGAGCTGAGTGCTGCTTCTTCATTTCAAGTGTGGTGTGGGCAGGTGACCAAGTGAACACGGACTGAGCTCATGATTCTTAACTGATTCTTAAGTGATTCTGAAGTGATTCTGAAGTGATTCTTAAGTGATTCTGAAGTGATTCTGAAGTGATTCTGAAGTGATTCTGAAGTGATTCTGAAGTGATTTGAAGCACCTGTTGAAAGAGGGACTGGGCCGATGCTAGTAGCGGCCGGGCTCCCATCAGGTCTCCACTGTGGTATGCTGCAATGGCGTCTAACAGGTCAAGGCGGAGATACCTATAATGAGTATGGGCAACGAAGGTGGGAGAATGGGAGCGTGAAGTGAAACGCACAACATTGAGTAGAGAAGGACGAAGAGAGGGCGAGAGAGGGTGGGCCGACAAGTGAAGGAAGGAAAGAAGGTAAAAAATAAAAGCATTGAAGTGGGATATTGTGAGAAGCAAGAGTAAAACGGCTATCACATGGCAACCCAAAAGAATGGCAATCCAAAAATGACACTGCTTTACCTGTATAGACTTTTGAGGCGCCTCAAAAGTCGCCTCAAAATGCGCCTCATAAGTCAATACTGAAATGACAGTGCTCTAACTGTATTAACACTCACGTGGCTAGCTCAGGTCGAAAGTTTCCCTGAAGCATCCTCAGCCTTGACATGTCCGCACCGTGCGCCTTGCGCAGAGCAGACCGGGCGGCAGCAAGCCGTCCTTTAGCAGACGCCAGACTGGCGACGTCTTTCATCATGTAGTGGCACCATACGATGTCCAATAGAAGCATCGGAATGTTGTCTATAGCCTGGACGAATTGAAGGAAGGAAAGAAGTGACTTTTTGATCGTCTCATCTCGTCCAATAGGAGTATTGGAATGTTGTCTAAAGCCTGGACGAATTGAAGGAAGGAAAAAAAAAGGCCTTGGAAGAACATGTGTGTGCTGGCTTATTTATTCATTTTTTAGCAGGAAGAAATTTGCATAATGGTACGGCAAGCGAAAGTGGTAACATTGAGGATGGATCTGTGGGGTTGATGCTGAGCTGTACATTATAAAGAAGAAACCCAGTTCTGCGGAACCATGGAATAGCGCGTTGGGAGCAGCATCCCAGAGAAAGAAATTACTGGAAGACGGTCACAAGGTTGGTTGGTTGGTTGGTTACCTCTGTGATTTTGGCATCGCAGATGCTGAACGCTTCCTGCAACAACGGCACAGTGGCGCACGACATGACATGACATGACATGACATGAAAAAAATTGCATGTTCATCCACAGGTGGCAAGCTGAACTAGTGCAAGCGCAATCCGATAAGGCGTCTGAAAACACAATGCACCATGTAGAAACCGCTTCAAGAATTCACACAGGTAAGAAGGCAGTCTCGTGGCAGTGTGACGATTTCAAGACAACGGGGGATTTGCACCTCGGCCATCTCGAGCACAGGGAGGGCTTCCACGAAGTTTCCTTTGCTGAGGAGTGTGCGACCGTGAGAATGCAGCAGCAGACCAGACACCAGGGAGCTGTGGGGGAGTGGCCAAGAAAACGGGACGTTTTTTTGAGTCGCCTCAAAACGAGTGAGACGAAACAATTTTGTAGTCGACTCGAAATGAGTGAGACGGGGCAATTTTTTGGTCGAAAGAAAAATCGACTCATATCACCCGGGAGCTGCGGGGTGAGACCATGCAATGACGTAATGGAGAGGCCATGACCAGGCAGGCAGCTACACATGCACATCCCGGTTTCATGTACACGATTTTTGAGGCGCCTCAAAGATTGTAATGGAGCTGCCATGAACAGGAAGACACAGATGCATGTGACATGCAGCATGTCCAGGTTTCATATACACGTTGTGCTTACATGCTCACATGGAAACAAGCACGCATGCACGCACACAACCAAGAGGATAGGAGGAGAGTCGTTTTGGGTGTTGAGGCCGGCACTTCTGCACACGGGCAGCCGAAAACAAAAATTTACTGCCGTCCAGAAAGAAAATAAAGGAGACCCGCCGTGTTGTACCGTTTATCGATTGGCGCCATTTCTAGTTTTTGCCCGCTCTGATTCTCCAACAGCAATTCAGCATCATCGTCATCATCATCATCCCCACCATCGTCAGGCCCTCCCATTTCCCGCCCTCCCCTTCCCCCCCTGCCCGCCCTGCCTCTCCTCGCAATGGCACCTGCTGCAGCCCTGGCGTTAGTTGAAGGAACAGGAGCGAAAAGGGGGATGGGACGGGGAAAGGGGAAGGGGACAGGCGAAAGGAGAAAGGGGGAAGGGGACAGGGGAAGGGGAAAGGGGGAAGGGGGGAGCGGGATGGATGAAGGATGAGGTGGGAGTGGGGATGGTGACGGTGGCGGTTAGTGAGCAGAGGAAGGTGCTAATGAAACAAGTTGACTTTTAAGTCGACTCAAAAGTGACGGTGGTGGTTAGTGAACAAAGGAAGGCGCTAATAAAGCAAGTTGACTTTTGAGTCGATTCAAAAGTGATGGTGGTGGTTAGTGAACAAAGGAAGGCGCTAATGAAACAATGACAACCACCCATCATGGCCTATGTGTGTTTCGTCCTCCTACGTTGGCAACTAAATTCAACTCTTCCAGCCATCCCATGCGCCATGTGTGCGCCACTCCTTCCCCTAGTTCATCCCTTGAGTCCCCCCACTTTCAGCCATTCACATCCCATTGCTCACCTCACTCGTGCCAGCCTCTCCTCCCTCTCTTTCCTCGCAGCTTCCTCCTCCACCACTCGCTTTCCCTCCGCTGCAATCTCGCCGCCCAATCGCCTGCCGCCACCTGTCACCAGAAGCCGTGAACCTGCCCTCACCCCAACCTCCTCTAAGCTCCTCCCTCGCCCGCCCTTCCGCTTTCCCAGCGAATTTCCCGTCCCCTTCCCCTCCCCCTTGTCCCCTTCCCCATTCCCCTCGTTATTCCCCTTCCCAACATCCCCCTTATCCCCCTCCGCAACTCTCTCTTCCGCCCCCATCACCGCTTCCCCCGCTCGCACCTTCTCCCCTTCCGCCTCCGCCTCGTCTTTAAGCGTGCGCCCACCGCAGATAATTTTTAAACTGCCCGCGTCGATCCCGGACAGGCGCGAAAGCTCCGCCCGCAGCTCGCATACAGTCCATTCGGTCAGGGACGGAATTTCGACCTGCCCGGACCAGGAGCCGGCGACCTTAAGCGTGACTGGCATGACCTGCCTAGTGCGAGCGGCGTGAGCGTGGCGTGAGCGCTGGGGTCAGCGTGAGTGGGCGGGGCGCCGTGAGCACGGTTGAGCGGGGCAAAGCGAAGGGGCAACGCCGGGAAGAGCGTCAATTTGGGAGAGTGTCGGCCTTGAGGGGGAGGGCCTATCGACGAGAAGCGACGTGGAAGGGGAGACGTGAAGGGGGCTGCTGCTGGAGTGTGAAGCAGAATCACTCACGCAGGATCACTCAAACAGAATCACTCAGAAAACTCTGGTCACCACGCGAAGCCAAACGCAGTGGAGAAAGTTGTAAAATTGGCGGTACCGTACTACCTTGTGCACGTTGATCTTGTTGGTGGCGTGCCTCACAAGTTCGTCCGAATGCGGCTCAATGAGATGTTGTACGCTGTACAGCGGTCAATCTTTATCAACATCGGTTGGGCACGTTCTTGAGGAAATTCGAACGTGTGGGACACGCCCTGAAATGTCAACTTGATTGGAATGAAGAGCTGGGTCCGAAAAATCGTACCACCAGACTGACCTTCAAACGCGTACACTTATTAACGAAAGCTCCTTTGTTAGTCAAAACAGAGCAAATGGCTAGGAACCCAGGCACAACCATACATGGCCGCACCATCTATACAAGAATTTTCAGCCTTCTTTCTAGTCCTGGCAAGGAATCCTGCCAGTCATTTATACACACTTTGGACAAGCACTTCACCCAAATTATTCCCCTGAAAAAACTGTCAAACTCTCTTAGCTATGGAGATCAGCAACGTCATCGATAAGTTGCCTGATGGTGTCCACTGAAAGCATGCCCTCAATGCGGGTCGCTCGCTTGGCCTTGTCCTTACCCATGAAGACCATGGTTGGAAGCCCGCGAATCTGCAACAAACAGAGAAGAACATAAGTGGCAGTGACAAGGAAGCAATGACAAGGTGGAAACGGGAATGAGATGGATGCAGTAAAGTCGCCGTAACCAGCGGTTAGTTCGCAATAAGGACGACGTACCTCCAGCTGATCTGCAAGGTCGTATTCCTGATCCGTGTTCACTTGGACGAACCGCACGCGCCCATCGTACTCCTCCGCTAACTGCACACCCGTCGCACCCGCGTTCCAAAAAGGATAAAAAGGTGAAGGAGACACAGGTCAGCAAGCAACCCGTAACCAGCTACTTTGTGCATGAATTATATAGAACGTAATCCTCATCCTGTAAGAACATGAAGTCGTACCCGAAAACAGCCTGTATCTTGCAAGTCAGCCACCAGGCAAGTGTCCATTTTTTTTTTCTGCTTTAATTTTCCTTTATAACTTGCCTCTTCAAGTTGCTCCGAGAGGATGTCGCACGACCCGCACCAGTCAGCGCAGAAATCAATAACGAGAGGCGTCTCTCGCTCGCCGGTCACCAGGTGATCCAACTCCTCCGTGTTCACGTCGCGCTGGAGATGAAGAGAAGAAGATTGAAGGAAAGACGTTGGCAGGGAAGACGCAATTGAAGATTAAATGTATTGAAGAAATGACGAGTTGCAAAGCGACGAGGAGTGACACCCGCTGCGAGAATAAAGGCCTTCCATTGACCAGCGAGACGAACGGCTTGAGTGAAAAAACACGTTGCGCGAGCGACGGACTGCCTAATCGCCGACGTACCACGTGACTGCATTGAATGCGGGACGACTTTGAAGCTCCAACGGCTATTTTAAAGCTGCTGGGCGAGCGCCGGTTTGAGAGGGGGTGAAAGAGGGCCGCGGGTTTTGTTGTCTGCTGAGAACAAGCTTGACGCCGTTGGCTGAAGCAAGAACTGGCAGCTACGCGAGTGGGCAAGTACAATGACAAAGCCATTTTGAACGAAGACCCGTATTGTGAGGACAAGCTGCAGATAGATCAGCGAGTCGAGGTTCGAAATATGGTTGATGATTTTTACACTAACACGATCTCAATGAGCTTTTACACTAGAGTTGGCAATGGTTAAAGCTAAGCAGTGGAGCTTTAGACGAGTTGGTGGGTTTATGACGAGGTAGTTATAGCTCGGAACGCGAACTTGACGGATGGATTGATGGGAGTGACAGGATGTTGGTTGAGGGAGGCTTGAAGGGAGTTTCTACCCTTGACCCTCACTTTCGATCCTCTTCAGTGTGGAGGGGGATGGGGCAATGGCAAGTGGAAGGGGAAGGCGATCAAGTGGAGTGAGGTGCGGTCGTATGAACCTCTGAGTGCGTTCGGTTGGGTGGGTTAGTATCCTCCCCCCGACGAAGAAAGAGCTCGTCCCGTGTGCCCACCGAATCTCATCATCCACGAATCACATTGCCGAATGGAGGAGGCCTGACACGTGGAGGAAGTTGGTCGACAACACAGCGTCGGAATGCCAGCCATGCAGGGGCAGCCACGCAGGAAAGCGAGTCGTGCCTCCCGAGATACGGGAGATCCATGGCCCGTGTGCTGAACAACGGCTCTCTAAAGCTTCAAGCGTTCCGCAGCAGCGGAACGTTTGCCCCCTGATGTTTCCAATAAAAAGGCCTCGCTGTTATAAGGTCCCCCATTCATAGCAGGAATCTACTGTACTCTCAAGGAAATATTCACTCACAAATGTGGGCGTGGAAAATAAGTCATCCTAGGTGTCTAGGGTTTAGGTATGATCTTATACGCCACGTGCAGTATATGTAAATAAATTCTGCAGATTGGTAACTTCCTAGAATTGCGCAAGCCAATGAGGAAATGAAGCTCAAAGAAGGAAATGAGAGTTTCAGCCCTTGTTGGAAATTATTGAAGGCATAATCACAAAATGCATGTGATAAGTTCATACATGTTTGAGACACAAATGTCAACATAAGAATGTCCCTAAGGAATGCTAACGAAAACAGAAACACGCTTCTCAAACTGAACTATGAGCTACAGAAATCGCGGTGATTGGGCTTGACTCCATCCACGTAGAAGAAGTCCTATCATATGATTGATCACCCATCCTATCACTCCTATCTCTCCACTTGGACATGTGTGCTGTTGCATTTCGTGCAGCAGCGACTCTCAGCATCTTGAGAACTCAAAAGCTTCGTCCTTTTGACTGTCAGCATTTTGACAATACACCTGTCTTTTTTGGCAGAGCCGCCGTGTATGCCTCGTCATTGCTCCTTGGAACTTTCGGAACTATATTTTAAGCCATGAGCTCGTTCAACTCTGGATGGAGTGCCTGGGGCGGTGGCGGCTCGAGCGCGTCGAGGAAACGGCCAGACGGCAGTGGAGCGGGACCGGGCCGTCAGTCACGGCCGACAACTAGCCGCGCGACAGTGTTCTTAATCCGGTTCTTAATCGTGGTGATCCTGGCGCAAGCGCTGTACATTGTGAAGCTTAAGGTCTCGCAGCAGCGGCGGCTTATGCTGGAAGAGGAACGAGGCAATAACGGGGATGGCGGGAATAAGAACTCTCGCAATGATGAAGCTGCAATTAGTGACAGAATTTCCGGGAATGATGCAGGTTCAGGAACACCGATAACAACCGAACTCGCTGGTTCGGGAAGTCAAACAGCAACGATAAACACCCAACCCGATGTTATTACAGTGACTCACGAAGACACCGATACCGGATCTGTTTCTACCGGGGATGGGAAGCAACCCGTGGAGTTGCCGCGAGCTGACAATGCGGGAGTGACTGTAGCGGGGGGAGTGGAAAGGGAGGGGAGCGAGGAGCAAGGAGCGGACGAGTTGGGACAGGAGAGTGAGATGGAGAGTAAAGACGAGGAGGAGGTGGGGTCCCGGCGGGAAGCGAGTGAACGCGCGGCGGAAGCGGAAGCGGAAGCGGGGGGGCGAAGGGGAGCGGAAGCGGAACCGGAGGAGGAGGAAACGGGCGCGCGGGATGGGTCCGGGGAAGTGGATGGTACCAGCGGGGGACAGGGGGAGGGGCAGGGGCGAGTGAATGGCGCATTGGCGCAACTACGCGGGGGAGCTTCTGGGAGAGGGGAGGGGGGCGGGGTGGAGGGCGCGAGTGGTGCGGGAGCGGGAGGAGAAGGAGAGGGGGAGGGAGAGAGTGAGGGAGAGGGCGAGAGAGTGGGAGGGGGAAAGGGAGAAAGAGGGTGGGAGCCTTTGCGCGGGCCAGCAAAGGGGATGACATGCCGGGCGTGGTTGGAAGAGCAAGACGAAGTGGGTGTTGGGAGGGAGTTTGAGAATCATCCAGTGCGAGTGGCCTCCAGCGAGGTGGGTGTGAGCTTATTGTGCGGCGGTGAGTGAGTGTGTGAGTATTCAGACAAGGTGAGTACTCTCTCAAGGAAAGTGGGCCAGCAGAGGGGATGACATGCCGGGCGTGGTTGGAGCAGCAAGACGAAGTGGGTGTGGGGAGGGAGTTTGAGAAGCAGCCGGTGCGAGTGCGAGTTTGGGGAGGTGCGTGTGTGTTTTTGAGAATTCTCAAAAACCTGCGTGTGTGCTTGGTTGGATCTTTTCTCATTGGCTTTGTTCCTCGCATGCGAGTCTCACGTGTGCAGTGGCGGGCAAGACGGCGCTGCTCTCCCTTTCCTCGCCCCCCACCCACCACAGTCCCCCCCCCCCTCTCTCCTCTCCCTCCTCCCGCCTTCCGCACGCAGGTGAAGCGGTGGGACTGCGATGTGCCGTGTGAGTTTGTGAGTTTGGGTGACGACATGGACGCCAGTCTCACGCACTCTCCCCTTCCTCCCCTTCCGTCCACCCCCCCCCCCCTCCCTTCACCCCCCACTTCCCACCGCGCACCTCTTCCTCCTTGCAGGTCAAGAGGTGGGATTGTGATGTGCCGTGTGAGTTTGTGAGTTCGGGTGACGACGTGGACGCCAGTTTGACGTATGCAGTGGCGGGCAAGATGGTGCTGCGCTCAATGGAGGCGCGCTCCTATTACCCCGCCAACGACCCTGCTGTGTCCAGGGGGTCCTACAGTGTGAGTGTTAAGGTGCTTGCATGTGGTGCGGGAGGTGTGGGACATGTATGTGCTTTGCATAGATGTGGGGGAGTGTGATGCAAGATGGTGCTGCGCTCAATGGAGGCGCGCTCCTATTTCCCCGCCAACGACCCTGCTGTGTCCAGGGGGTCTCACAGTGTGAGTGGTAGGGAGGGAGCATGTTGCGTGTTGGGGGCAGTGGGTGTTGGGGGCAGTGGGTGTTGGGGGCAGTGGGTGTTGAGGCCAGTCTCACGTACGCAGTGGCAGGCAAGATGGTGCTGCGGTGCTGCTGTCAGGTGCTGATGACAGTGCACTATCACTCGGACGTGCCAGTGCAGTGCAGTACGGGTCGTGGGAGGAGTATGATATCATGCGACCCATCCGTGCCATCCCTTCTCCTCTCTTGCCACTCGTCTTGCTCTCCCTGGTCTCTCTCTTTTCAAGCCTCCCCATGGCAACAACAGGTGGTGATGACAGTGCACTACGACTCACACGTGCCAGTGCAGTACGGGTTGTGGGAGGGAGGAGGATGACATCATGGGTCTCCTCCATGCCGCCCTATCTCCTCTTTTGCCTCACCTCGATCTCTTGTCCCTCTCTTGTCTCTACTCTGTGCGTGCCTCCCCATGGCAGCAACAGGTGGTGATGACAGTACACTACGACTCACACGTGCCAGTGCAGTACAGGTCGTGGGAGGGAGGAGGATGACATGATGCGACCCCCAATGCTTTCCTCCATCCCCCTCTCTCTTGTCTCCCTTGTCTCTCTTCTCTGCACACTTGCCCAACCACAACAATGACAACACCAACATCAGGTGGTGATGACAGTGCACTACGACTCGGACGTGCCAGTGCAGTACGGGTCCTGGGAGGAGTATGACATCATGCGCCCCCCCGTCCCCAAGACAGCAGACGCCATTGCTGCTGCGTTCATCAGCAACTGTGCTGCCAACAACTTCCGACTCAAGGTGGGAAAGGGAGAGGGGGTGTCCACTCAAGGTGGGGAGAGGGGGTGTCGACTCAAGGTGGGGAGAGGGGGTATGGAGGAGGGGGAGAAATATGGTGCCATGTGATAGAAGTAATTCTGTTAGACGTCTCAAAAGCTCACTTCTATCAGGTGGGTCGACGGGGTGTGGAGGAAGGGGAGAAAGAGTGCACAACGTGGAAGGAGAGGTGTGATTGCAGCAATGTAGCCTCCCCGTAGCTCACATAACCGTTCCCCACCATTTCATCCCCCGCCACTCTGCTCCCCCACACAACCTCAGGCGGTGAAGGAGCTGCAACAGTTCTTTCCTGTGCACTCCTCTTGTTTGTATCTCATAACCCATATAACCGCTTCCCACCGCTCTGTCCCTCATACAACCGCAGGCGGTGGAGGAGCTGCAGAAGTTCTTTCCCGTGCACTCGTATGGTCGCTGTCTCAACAACCGGCCGTTTGAGCATGACAAGGTGCAATCGTTTGAGCATGACAAGGTGCAATCGAGATAGGAGTACTTTGCATGCATCAGCATAGTGGTCTGATGAGGTGTGAGCATGATGAGGTGTGAGCATGATGAGGCGCGAGTGCAATGCTGCAGGCAGTTTTTTTCCGTGCACTCGTATGGTCGCTGTCTCAACAACCGGCCATTTGAGCATGATAAGGTAGGTGCGAGCATAACGAGGTGTGCCAACGCGGTGTGATGATAAGTTGCGAGCATCATGAGGTCACACCTCCATCATGAGGTGCGGTGTTGATAAGGCAGTGGAGGGGAGGAGCTGCAGGCAGTTCTTCCCTGTGCGCTCCTATGGTCGCTGCCTTGGCAACCGGCTGTTTGGGCATGACAAGGTGCAATCGTTTGAGCATGACAAGGTGCAATCGAGATAGGAGTACTTTGCATGCATCAGCATAGTGGTCTGATGAGGTGTGAGCATGATGAGGTGTGAGCATGATGAGGCGCGAGTGCAATGCTGCAGGCAGTTTTTTTCCGTGCACTCGTATGGTCGCTGTCTCAACAACCGGCCATTTGAGCATGATAAGGTAGGTGCGAGCATAACGAGGTGTGCCAACGCGGTGTGATGATAAGTTGCGAGCATCATGAGGTCACACCTCCATCATGAGGTGCGGTGTTGATAAGGCAGTGGAGGGGAGGAGCTGCAGGCAGTTCTTCCCTGTGCGCTCCTATGGTCGCTGCCTTGGCAACCGGCTGTTTGGGCATGACAAGGTGCTGATGCTGTAAAACGATAATGGTCTGAGGATGTGGTTACCTATGGAATGGAAGGGACGAGGTGTGAGCATGACGAGGTGTGAGCATGACGAGGTGTGAGCATGACGAGGTGTGAGCATGTTGAGGTGTGAGCATGACGAGGTGTGAGCATGTTGAGGTGTGAGCATGACGAGGTGTGAGCATGTTGAGGTGTTAGCATGTTGAGGTGTGAGCATGATGAGGTGTGAGCATGACGAGGTGTGAGCATGTTGAGGTGTGAGCATGTTGAGGTGTGAGCATGATGAGGTGTGAGCATGACGAGGTGTGAGCATGTTGAGGTGTGAGCATGTTGAGGTGTGAGCATGATGAGGTGTGAGCATGACGAGGTGTGAGCATGTTGAGGTGTGAGCATGACGAGGTGTGAGCATGTTGAGGTGTGAGCATGACGAGGTGTGAGCATGTTGAGGTGTGAGCATGACGAGGTGTGAGCATGTTGAGGTGTGAGCATGTTGAGGTGTGAGCATGATGAGGTGTGAGCATGACGAGGTGTGAGCATGACGAGGTGTGAGCATGACGAGGTGTGAGCATGATGAGGTGTGAGCATGACGAGGTGTGAGCATGTTGAGGTGTGAGCATGACGAAGTGTGAGCATGTTGAGGTGTGAGCATGACGAGGTGTGAGCATGATGAGGTGCGAGCATGATGAGGTGCGAGCATGATGAGGTGCGAGCATGATGAGGTGCGAGCATGACGAGGTGCGAGCATGACGAGGTGTGAGCATGTTGAGGTGTGAGCATGATGAGGTGTGAGCATGACGAGGTGTGAGCATGACGAGGTGTGAGCATGATGAGGTGTGAGCATGATGAGGTGTGAGCATGTTGAGGTGCGAGCATGTTTAGGTGCGAGCATGATGAGGTGCGAGCATGATGAGGTGCGAGCATGATGAGGTGCGAGCATGATGAGGTGTGAGCATGCTGAGGTGCGAGCATGATGAGGTGCGAGCATGATGAGGTGCGAGCATGATGAGGTGCGAGCATGATGAGGTGCGAGCATGATGAGGTGCGAGCATGATGAGGTGCGAGCATGATGAGGTGCGAGCATGATGAGGTGCGAGCATGATGAGGTGCGAGCATGATGAGGTGCGAGCATGATGAGGTGCGAGCATGATGAGGTCCCAACTTCACCAGCTCGCAGTGATCCAGCGCTACAAGTTCTCCCTCGCCTTTGAGAACTCCTGTGAACCGGACTATACATCACTGAGAAGTTCTGGCAGTCCAAACCTACTTCCCATCCCTGCCCGCCACCCCTCCCCACCCCTCCCCACCCATTCCCACCCCCAGCTCGCAGTGATCCAACGTTACAAGTTCTCCCTCGCCTTTGAGAACTCCTGTGAACCGGACTACATCACTGAGAAGTTCTGGCAGTCCCTAGTGGCCGGGTCCGTGCCTGTGATCGTGGGCCCTCCCAACATTGCAGACTTTGTGCCGGACAACACCTCGTACCTCTACATCCAGGTGAGGGTTTGTTCCTGTGTTTGTGTGGATAGTCAGTGACAAGAAGAGCGGTTCTGGCACTCCCTCGTGGCCTTGTCCGTGCCCGTGGTGGTGGGCCCTCCCAACACTGCTGACTCTGTGCCGCCCAACATTGCAGACTGTGTGTGTAATGTTGAGGATGATGCTCGTGTGACAACACCTCGTTCCTCTACATTCAGGTGAGGATTCTTCCATGTGCGTGACTGTCTGTGTTGGGAAGAGAGATGCTGGCAGGGAGGCAGTCCCTCCCTCATGGCCAGGTCTGTGCCCGTGGTGATGGGCCCGCCCAACATCGCTGATTCCGTGCCCAGGCTGGCACTCAGCAGGCCGGACAACAGCTCGTTCCTGTACATTCAGGGCACCACTCTGCACACCTCTCTACCCATTTCCCTGCTCCCTCTTTTCCCCACAGAGTGAGGAGGTTCCCAGGGTGACGCGGCAGATGCAGGCCATAGCAGCTGACGAACCTTCACTATGCACCACCCCCCATACCTCTACCTCCACTCCCTTTTTCTTGGCACAGAGCGAGGAGGACGTTCTCCGTGTGGCGTGGCAGATGCATACAACAAGATGCTCGAGTGAAAGCGATCTGGACCACTCTGCATACCTCTCTACCCATTCCCCCATCCCCTCGTCTTCTTACAGAGTGAGGAGGATGGGTGGCGCGCCAGATGCAGGCCATAGCAGCCGACGAGGACGCGTACAACAAGATGCTCGAGTGAAACGATCTGCACCATTCTGCGTACCTCTCTACCCATTCCCACACTCCTCCTTTCCCCCACAGAGCGAGGAGCATGTTCCAAGGGTGGCAAGGCAGATGCAGGCCATAGCGGCCGACGAGGACGCGTACAACAAGATGCTCGAGTGAAACGATCTGCACCACTCTGCATACCTCTCTACCCATTCCCACACTCCTCCTTTCCCCCACAGAGCGAGGAGGATGTTCCAAGGGTGGCAAGGCAGATGCAGGCCATAGCGGCCGACGAGGACGCGTACAACAAGATGCTCGAGTGAAACGATCTGCACCACTCTGCATACCTCTCTACCCATTCCCACACTCCTCCTTTCCCCCACAGAGCGAGGAGGATGTTCCAAGGGTGGCAAGGCAGATGCAGGCCATAGCGGCCGACGAGGACGCGTACAACAAGATGCTCGAGTGGAAGCGATCTGGGCCGTCGGATCAGTTCATTGCCAACGTGGATCTGTCGGCTGTGCACTCCTCCTGCCGCCTCTGTGTGCTTCTGGCTGACCGCATCCGCACGCAAGAGATCGCTGCCTCCCGCAAGCCACGGCCCTGCAGGTGAGACTCTCTCCCCTCTCCTCCCCTCTCCTCCCCTCTCCTCCCCTCTCCTCCCCTCTCCTCCCCTCTCCTCCCCTCTCCTCCCCTCTCCTCCCCTATCTCCCTGCCGCCTCTGTGTGCTTCTGGCCGATCGCATCCGTACACAAGAGATTGCCGCCTCCCACAAGCCCCGGCCCTGCAGGTGAGTTCTGTAGGATAGGCCAGGACGCGAGGGAGACCTCTCGCTCCCCCGCCTCCCCAATCACCCTTCACTCTCTCTGCACGGTAACCCTCCTGCCGCCTCTGTTTGCTGCTGGCCGATCTCATCCGCACATAATATATTGCTGCCTCTTACAAGCCACGGCCCTGCAGGTGAGTCTCTCTCCGCTCTCCTCCCCTCTCCTCCCCTCTCCTCCCCTCTCGTCCTGCTATTCGGCATGCAAGAAATTGCTGCTTCCCGTCTCCATCCCCTCCCTCCCCTCCCATCGATCGCCCTCCCTGTCTCCCTTCACCTCTCTGTTCTGTCTCCCTTCACCTCTCTGTTCTGTCTCCCTTCACCTCTCTGTTCTGTCTCCCTTCACCTCTCTGTTCTGTCTCCCTTCACCTCTCTGTTCTGTCTCCCTTCACCTCTCTGTTCTGTCTCCCTTCACCTCTCTGTTCTGTCTCCCTTCACCTCTCTGTTCTGTCTCCCTTCACCTCTCCCTCCTTTTGAGACGTCTCAAAAGTCTGTCTCCCTTCACCTCTCCCTCCTTCCCGGCCACTGTCCCCGCCTCTTCCCGAACCTCCCTCGCGCGTGGTCCTCGTTTGCTGTGTCTGACACCTGTATCCGCCCCATGCTGCTTTGCATCTTTCACCCACATGCAACAGGTGTGAGAGCACAGAGTCTGGCAAGAAGCAGCTTACCTACCATCTCTACGTGCGTGAAAGAGGCACATACCGCTACACCTCCGTCTTCCTTACAAGCACCTCACTCACCCTACCAGGCCTCCGCCGAGCCATTCGCCGAACCTTCAAAAAGAAGGGGTACAAGCCTGTTTGGGTCGGCAAGAGACCAGCCGTTCTGGCATCGGATAAGAGGATCAAGGCGCTGCGGATTTTCCACATATATCCGGCGGGATCGAATCAGAGGGAGGCCATGTTCGGGAGTGCGTGGTTTCAAACCACGGAGCAGTTCACCAAGTATTTGAACGATCATCCTTGCCCTCGATTAGAAGTTATCTTCATATAACCCGAGATTTTTATTCTTCAACACTCTTTGCGCTAAAATTTGTTTTCTATCTTAGCACTCATAACATATATTCTTTATGTGCTGCATGTACTTTTTAGCCAGGACGACAAATACATAAACCTCCGATTCCTTTGAGATGTCGGTGCCTCATAACGCGTATCATTACCCTTGTTCTCTCAGAGCTCTAGTCCATAGGCAGGCAGTGTTGACGAGTTCCCCTTGGTCGTAAATAACTCTTCGCAAGATGCGGCGCACCGTGCAGCAGCACCAGCAGCAGCAGCAGCAACGGTTGCGCGCGTCGGCGCTTTGCTCACCCGCATGTGTGAAGGCACTCGGTTTGCCCGCCCTTCTCCTCTTCACATTCGTGATGATCTTTAATCGCCATTTTCAGCTCATCTCGTCGCCTTTCTCGAAGCACACTACCTCCAGCCACTTAGTCTCAGTACCTTCACCTGCACTGCAAACTCCACTATCATTTCCTTCCGCTTTCGAGATTCCTTCCCGTAGTACCGCTTCCTCCTCGCTTTCCGCGAGCAAAGGCGAACGAGCAGGCGAATTTTCCGAGGCTGGTTACCCTATTGAGTCTTCGACTAAAGCTTCGCCTGGTGCTGCTTCCGTGCCTGACTGGCTCCAATCCATGGATTCTCGGAAGCTTCTCCCCTTAGGGAGTCAATACAAGCCACAAGAGACGGATGCAATCTTACCTCGTTATAAAGAGCCCCGTTCCGAGCAGAATGCTGAAGCAGTGGGTAACATTGAAGCAGTGCATATCAACAATGGGGGATTTGCAAATCTAAAAAACTCCTTAGATTCCTTCCGAGGGCAGCCCAGGGAAACAGGTTCAGCAGCTCAAGCACACTCAAACAGGCAGTTGAAGGGGCAGCGGAAACAGGTGTTGAGCGAGCCAGAGTGGGATTCAGAGGGCTATGTGTCAGCCAGTACACTTAGGCAGCTAGCACAAGAAGCTTCAATCAACGGCACTGTTGTGATCTTGGTGTGCAGCTATGGTAAGACGCTGAGGAACGGTACTTGTTGTACCAATTACAAGTAAAGTCTACAGCCACTTGGTATCAACAAATGTGAGAGATTCTGCTGCTGTATTCGTTTGGTGTCACGTAGCTTCCCCGCATCTTCCCTCAGCTCTGCCACGTCCAGTTCCCTTGTTTCCCGCTTCTGCGTCCTCTTCCCCTCTCCTCTCCTCTCCTCTCCTCTCCTCTCCTCTCCTCCCCTCCACTCCTGTCCTCCCCTATCCTCTCCTCTCTTCTCCCTCTCCGTTTTCTTTTCCCACCCCCCCCTCCCCCCTCCACACAGCTCTTCCTCTCCCCCTCGCTCTATCCAAGGCTACGCGGATTTTCTGCTCAACTGGGCCGTGTATGCGGGCGAGCTGGGGTACGGGCGAGCGGCGTTACACTCTCCCATTTGACCTGCCTCCATGCCCCACTCTCCTTCCCCCACCGCCCCTCCACCCCCCACCCACCCTCGCCCTATCCAAGGCTACGCGGATTTTCTGCTCAACTGGGCCGTGTATGCGGGCGAGCGGGGGTATGGGCGGAGTTTCCTTGTGTTTGCGGAAGACAGGGAGACATTTGAGCTGCTGAGAGAGAGATTTCCGAGACAGGTGCGACACACACGGGTTCCCAGAAGAGGTAGGGGCGGCACCGCTGTGTGATGCCTGTGTGTATGCGGGCGAGCTGGGGTATGGGCGGAGTTTCCTTGTGTTTGCGGAAGACAGGGAGACATTTGAGCTGCTGAGAGAGAGATTCCCGAGACAGGTGCGACACACTCGGGTTCCCCAAGACAGTTGAGTGACGCACCGCTGTCTTATACCTTTGTGCATGCGCCATCGCATACCGAGTGTTTACCAAGGTCACAGACATTTTTTGTTTGTCGTTGTTTTGTTTTATTTTCCCTCATATTAATATTTTGAGGCGATCAAGCAGGGGGGGGGGGGGGGGGGGGGGGGGGAGGGGAGAGGAGCTGAAGGCAGCAGGAGTGCTGGATGATTATTTGAAGCGCCTTAGAAGTCCCAATCCAACCCATTTTTCCCAACCCAATCTCCCAACCCAATTACCCCAACTAATTTTCCCCAACCCATTTTCACCGACCCAATTTCCCCGACCCCTTCCCTCAACCCTTTCGCCCAACCCTTTGCCCCACAACGGTTGGGGCATCAGGTGGTGAGATGGCACGTGCCGGAGATAGAGCAGGCGGGAGAGGAGGAGCTGAAGGCCGCAGGACTGGTGGAGGAGATTGGTAGTGCCAGGGGTGGCAGTGCAGGGAGCAGTGGCAGTGGCAGCAACAGAGAGGCCTTTTCTTTCCTCACGCTGGGCTTTAAGAAGCTCATGTATCGGAGAGTTGCCTACATCCGCACGCTCCTCAACTTGGGCTTTAATGTCCTGATTTGCGACTCGGATTTCATCTGGGTCAAGGATCCCTTTCCTTACCTCTTTGCAAGGCCAAGCCACTCGGAGGTTTTAAGAAGGTCTATGGCTTCGCGGCTCCAGTTAACCAACACTCTGGGACTCTACAACAAGAGAAATCGGTATGCTGTTTCCGACTCAGATCTGCAAGCTTTGCCCGCTTCTGGAGCAGCTCCTAAAGAGTATGATGTGGTGGGAGTGCGGGAGTTTCCGGATACATACAATTTCTACGCAACTTCCACATACCTTATGGATCCTCGACCCGCTCAGCTTGACCATGCCAAGCTCTGCGGTGGCTTTGTTCTCTTTCGCAACACGCCGGGAGGAAGGCTTATACTGGAGCTGCTTATATTGAAGATATACTGGGCACCAAAAGTTACAGGGCGGGAGAATGACCAGCTTTATCTGGGAATGGCCATTTATGAGTTGTTCAATATCAGCCCAGCTCCATTAGTTGGAGTTCTTCCACAGACTCTTTTTCCTCCGGGGTGGCTCTATTTTCCCGAGTCGTCTTCCATGCCTCCGGGTAGACTAGGAGTGCTCCCTAGCCGTGATGCGGTCGTGACGATCCACAATAATTGGATGTCTGGAAAGGATAATAAGCTAGCAAGATTCAAAACGGCTGGATTGTGGAGAATTTCATATACTTGAACGTGATTGGTTTTTCTGTATTCAATGTGCTAATAGTATGTAGAATCTGGTCTTCCTAGCAGTAATCCTAGTCGGGCACAGATACCTCTGGGTATAAATGTTTTATACGTTTGATTGCTTGCACTGTACAGTGAAACAATGTTTCTGAAGTCGCGTCCCTCCTTATACCCGTCAGCCACATCCTCGATTGCTCCCAGTTCCTGCCAGAATACCACAAAAAAGGTTGGTGCCTTGCATTCGTCATCCATTTTCCTCACCTCCTTTCGGTCAGTCACAGGTAGATCGCCTGCGAGTCAAGTCAGACAAGTCAGTCAGGTAGATCCCCTCGCCACAGCCTTCACGTCTCCCATCAACCCTAGTCGTCCTCGACACTTAGTTGGCTTCTCATTTTCTGTCTCGTGGGAGAAGCCCTGTTCGTTCTTACGGTTTACCTTCCAGCGTTCTCCCTTTGGTTTGTTGGCCAGCAAGCTTCAACTACCGAGCGTAATCCTTCCGCCTTTCTCGGTATACCGTTTTCTAATCGACTAGAATTCGCTGAAAGAAACCCAGGCCTTATCGTCAATTGCGTGGGCCAGTTCATCTGCGGAATCCTATCCTTTTTTTTATTCGCGAAGCTTTTTTAGGGAAGCGAAATGGCTCGTGGCGACGATTACGACGACGAGGTAGAGGAGGAGGACGAGGAATACGAGGAGGAGGAGGAGGAAGAGGAAGACTACGAGGAGGAGCGCGGGAAGAAGCGAGGGCGCGGATCGCAGTTTATCGACGACGCGGCGGAGGAGGATGAGGACGAGGACGAGGAGGACGAAGCGCCGAGGAAAAAGAAGGGTTCGACGACCGGCCGGTCGATGTTTATTGAAGAGGAAGCGGCGGTGGCGAGTGATGACGAGGAGGAGGAGGAGGAAGAGGAGGACGGTACGTTGGGTTTATTAGGCGCGTAGAACATCAATTAGGGTTTCGATTTTCGAGGAAGAAGAAGGGTTTGACGGTTGGTGGGGTTCGGTAGATGTTCATTCAGGAACCAGCAGCAGTGGCGAGTGATTACGAGGAGGAGGAGGAAGAAAGGGAGGACGGTGGGTCGCGTGCTTCGTATGGAGGGTCAAGACATTATGTTCCGTAAGGGATGGCCAAATCGGCCATGCCTCCTTCTCGCAGGCAGAGTATGGACAAATCAGGGTTGCGCGTAGATGCTTCCTTCGACGTCGCTTCGCGTTCTTAGGTTTAAAGTCGACAAATGAGACCGACGTAAACACTGTTCTCACCTTCACATCCTTTTGACTCGATTTTAAAAAACAATTGCTTATCACGATAGATTGAGAAGCGGAGCAGACATGAGTTGATGTCGTGAATTTTTCCTCTCATCCCTTCTTCATCCATCCACGCTTCATCGACCTGGTCGCGGATTTGAGCGCGGAGCTGGGAACCGGCCGCACCACCCCACCAATCCATGCCCCTCCCTTCTTTTTCTGTACCGCCTTGCGATCCCCACACAGGCTTCATCGACCGGGACGCGGATTTGGGCGAGGAGCTGGGCAACGAGCGCTCCTCCGCGCACCACCGCATCTGTTGCCTTATCAACCCCCCGTTGTACCTCCTTGTTGTCACCCCCCTCCCAGGCTTCATCGACCGGGACGCGGATCTGGGGGAGGAGCTGGGCAACGAGCGGCCGTCGGCGCACCACCGCACGCTGCTGCGGCGCAACGAGGAGGAGGAGGAGGTGAACGAGGAGGATTACCAGCGGTTCCTGGAGGAGCGGTATGCGCGCAACGAGGTGCCCGAGCTGGGCGAGGGGGAGGCCACGGAGGTCGAGCAGCAGGCGCTGCTGCCGTCCGTGCGCGACCCCAAGCTCTGGATGGTCAAATGCGAGGTACGCCGCGGTGCTGTGCGGTGCTGGGGTAGGCCGGGGTGTTTTGTGCGGTGCTGTGCGGTTCTGGGGTGAGGTGAACAAGTAGGATTACCAGCGGTTCCTGGAGGAGCGGTATGCGCGCAACGAGGTGCCCGAGCTGGGCGAGGGGGAGGCCACGGAGGTCGAGCAGCAGGCGCTGCTGCCGTCCGTGCGCGACCCCAAGCTCTGGATGGTCAAGTGCGAGGTACGCCGCGGTGCAGTGCGGTGCCGAGTTGGGCTGGGCTGGGCTTGGCTGGCTGTGCCGAGCGTTGATGCAGAAGTGCGTGAACCTGGAGGCACTGGGGCAGACGCTGCAGATTGAATAATCTTTCCATCTCCCCATCCCTCATCCCCTCCCCCCACCTCTCTCCCCCACAGCTTGGCCACGAGCGCGAAGCTGTGGTGTCGCTGATGCAGAAGTGCGTGAACCTGAAGGCACTGGGACAGAATCTGCTGATCAAATTAGTCTCTTCCTTTTCCCATATCACCCCATCCTCTCTTCCCCCTCCACCCCCCCCTCTTTCTCTCCCCTTGCAGCTGGGCCACGAGCGCGAAGCAGTGGTGTCACTGATGCAGAAGTGCGTGAACCTGGAGGCACTGGGGCAGAACCTGCAGATCAAATCAGTCCCTTCTCTTTTCCCATATCAACTCATCCCCTCTTCTCCCCCCTCACCCAACCCCCCTCGCAGCTGGGCCACGAGCGAGAGGCGGTGGTGTCACTGATGCAGAAGTGCGTGAACCTGGAGGCACTGGGGCAGAACCTGCAGATCAAATCCGCGATAGCCCTGGACAACCTCAAGGGGTGCGTGTACGTGGAGGCGTACAAGGAGGCGTACGTCAAGGAGGTGCGTTGCGTTTCGAAAGTTGACTCTTTCTAGGCAGTGTGTAGACGTGTTAAACTTCTTATAAGGTGTATGTGGAGGCGTACAAGGAGGCGTACGTCAAGGAGGTGCGTTGGGAGTTACCGCATGCATGCACGTACGTATGTGGAGCGTCTTATAAGGTGTACGTGGAGGCGCACACAAGGAGGAGCAGCAATCCCAGCGCCTGCATCTAGTTGTTTTGATCTGCGAGCCTTAGCGAGGCATATACAGGAAGCAGTGTGCTGTGCTGTTACAGGACAGGAAGCAGTGTGCTGTGCTGTAGTGCGCGGCTTTTGAGGCGCCTCAAAAGTCACCTCAAAAGGCGCCAGGCATATACAAGAAGCAGTTTGCTGTAGTAGGCTTGGATCCTTAGCCTCTCCGCCCCACCCTCCCTCGCTTCCCCCCAGGCATGTGCGGGGCTGCGGCTGCTGAGGGCGTGGAAGCCGGCGCTGGTTTTTGGTCTATTCTTAACTCCTTAGCCTCCCCCACAACAACCCCCCCCCCCTTCCCCCCCCCCCCCACCCCGATTTTCCCCCAGGCGTGTGCGGGGCTGCGGCTGCTGAGGGCGTGGAAGCCGGCGCTGGTGCCGATAAAGGAGATGGCGGGCGTGCTGACGGTGGAGCAGAAGTCGGTCGACCTGGAGGAGAACAGCTGGGTGCGCGTCAAGATCGGGCTCTACAAGGGCGACCTCGCTCTGGTGAGTGCGGTTCAAAGTGGTTGTGTGCGGTTCAGAGTGGAAGTGTGTGAGGAAGGGAGCAAGGGGGGGTGGGGAGACAGCGATTGGGGGTCTGGGGCAGGCAGGGAAAGGCTGACAGTGGAGCAGAAGCCGGTCGACCTGGAGGAGAACAGCTGGGTGCGCGTCAAGATCGGGCTCTACAAGGGCGACCTCGCGCTGGTGAGTGCGGTTCACAGTGGCTGTGTGCGGTTCAGAGTGGTTGTGTGTGGGAGTCTGGGGCAGGGAAGGGCTGACGGTGGAGCAGAAGTCGGTGGACCTGGAGGAGAACAGCTGGGTGCGCGTCAAGATCGGGCTCTACAAGGGCGACCTCGCGCTGATGAGTGCTCCGAATGGGTGGGTGTGTGTATGAGAGGGAGGAAGGTATTGGGAGAGGGAGCGAGTGTGGTAAGGAGAACAGCTGGGTGCGCGTCAAGATTGGGCCCTACAAGGGCGACCTCGCACAGGTGAGTCCGTGCTGCCACGTGCTGTCACGTGTTGCCACGTGTTGCCACGTGCTGCCATGTGCTGCTCCTTGCCAGCACCATCACCCATTCTGCCATCATGCCATTCCCAGTGCTACCACACGAATTATCACGCCTTTTCATGCCACACAACACGGCGATACCACCCCATCCACCCCGTGCCACCCCATGCCACGTCACATGAGCAGGTGACTGACGTGGACACAGTGAAGCAGAGAGCCACCATCAAGCTCATTCCCCGTATCGACCTGCAAGCTCTCGCGCAGCGCCAGGTGCGTTGCTCTTCCTGTAAACCTGGTGCAGCAGCAGACGAGAGTGCCATGCTGTGTGACTGTGTTCTGTGAGTGTGGGTGCTTGTACTACAGACGTCACTGCTGCAGAGATGCTATCACACACAGGCACACTCAGGCACACTCAGCAGCAGGTGAACTTGAGTCAATAGTCAAGTAGTGCTCCTTACAAACCAAGTCTCATTCCCCTGCTCCCCTAGTCCTTCTGCCTACCCCTCAATCCCCTTTCGCCCCCCTCGTGACTCTCTCCATTCTAACCTCCACTCTACTGTCCCACCCCCTCCGTGGGTGCATGCTCGTGAGCAGGACGGCAAGCCTGTGGTCAAGCGCAAGGCCCGCCCCGCCCCACGGTTCTTCAGTGTTGACGAGGCCAAGTGAGTGCACGTGGGAGGGTGTGGGGTGGTGTGGAGGGCATGTATGTATGTGTATGGGGTGGGGAAAATGCACCCACCAACGTGGGCAGGACGGCAAGCCTGTGCCCCGCCCCACGATTCTTGAAAACTGAAGTGTTTTGAGACGTCTCAAAACACTTCTGTTTTCACGTGGGCAGGACGGCAAGCCTGTGCCCCGCCCCACGGTTCTTCAGTGTTGACGAGGCCAAGTGAGTGACGGGGTGGAGGGTGGGGGGAGGAGGGCGTGTGTGCCGGCTCAAGCTGCTCGGCCTCCGTTCCCGCCCGCTCCATGTACCCTTTCCCACAGGAACTGTTTTGAGACGTCTCAAAACACTCCTTTTTTCACGTTCCCGCCCGCTCCATGTACCCTTTCCCACAGGAACTACGGGCCTTCGTCCCATGGTGACGCGCCATTTGAGGCGCCTCAAAATTCCCGCCCGCTCCATGTACCCTTTTCCACAGGAACTACGGCCTTCGACCCATGGTGACGCGCCATCGCACCACGGGAGAGCACATCCAATCCATAGAGGGCATGCAGTTTGTCGACGGGTACCCGCCTGCTCATAACCATTCCTTTTTCTTTTCCTACATCTGTTTCCCCCTTCGTCCCCATGCTCGCATGACCACAGGAACTACGGGCTTCGTCCCATGGTGACCCGCCATCGCACCACGGGAGAGCACATCCAGTCCATTGAAGGCATGCAGTTTGTCGACGGCTATCTCCTCAAAGTGGTCTCCATTAAATCCCTCGACACCCGCGGGGTCGTCCCGACCCTAGACGAGCTACAGCGCTTCCAGCGCGCTGCAGGGGATGGGGAGCGGGGGGAGTATGGAGGCGGAGGGGGGCTGGGGAGCGGGGTGGGGCCGATGGGGATTTCTGCGGAGCAGGCGAATCGGCAGAGAGGAAGGCTGGTGAAGGGGGATGTGGTTGAAGTGGTTGAGGGCGATTTGAAGGGGTTGAAAGGGCGCGTGGAGAAGGTGGATGAGGATGAGGTTATTATTCGGCCGCACCATGAAGAGCTCAAGGTGAGCGGCTGGAGAGGATACAGTGCGGTGCAATGCTGTTTTGTGCAGTTCTGACAGCTCAAGTGTAGTTTACTTGGCATATGAATAGATGGGGTGACAGCTCAAGGGGATGGTGACAGCTGCACAGTGTCGTTTACATCACACACCCATTCTGCCTCTTTTTGTCCATTTTGCATCAGCTCTCCCTCCTCACCGGACCTGTTGCCAGTGAAGGAGTCGCAGCTGCACAAGCTCTTTCAGACAGGCGACCGCATGAAGGTGGTGGGTGGACAGAACAAGTGCTGTCCACAAACCAATATCTTGTCAATCCTTTTTCTCAATTCCTCCCGCCTCCCCACATCCCCACCTCACAGGATCTGCTGCCAGTGAAGGAGTCGCAGCTGCGCAAGTTCTTTCAGACGGGTGACCATGTGAAAGTCTTTCACAATGCCATTCTCTGTCTATACATCTTCCGAATTCACTTCCCCCACCTCACAGGACCTGCTGCCAGTGAAGGAGTCGCAGCTGCGCAAGTTCTTCCAGACAGGCGACCACGTGAAGGTGGTGGTGGGGCAGAACAACGGCGTGACTACGGTTGCACAAGTGCCTTCCACTAATCCATTCTCCTCTGCTTCGTCTCTAATCCACTGTCCATGTAAACCCCCCTCGCCTCACAGGACCTGTTGCCAGTGAAGGAGTCGCAGCTGCGCAAGTTCTTCCAGACTGGTGACCACGTGAAGGTGGTGGCGGGGCAGAACGACGGGGTGACGGGCATGATCGTGAAGGTGGACGGGCACATTGCAATTGTGCTGTCAGACACTTCAAGGGAGCATGTGAGTGTGTAGTGCGGTTGTAATTGTGAACATGAAGGGAGCACGGCGTGACGGGCATGATTGTGAAGGTGGATGGGCACATTGCAATTGTGCTGTCAGACACTTCCCAAGAACATGTGAGTTTGGCTGTTCTAGGGTGATCGTGCTGTGATCTTTAGGCAGCAAGGTGATGCAGAAAGGGGCAGAACGACGGCGTGACGGGCATGATCGTGAAGGTGGACGGACACATTGCAATTGTGCTGTCAGACACTTCCCGAGAACATGTGAGTTTGGCTGTTCTAAGGTGATCGTGCTGTGATCTTTATGCAGCAAGGTGATGCAGAAAGGGGCAGAGCGATGGTGTGACGGGCATGATCGTGAAGGTGGATGGGCACATTGCAATCGTGCTGTCAGACACTTCTCGAGAACATGTGAGTTTGGCTGTTCTAGGGTGATCGTGATGTGATCTTTAGGCAGCAAGGTGATGCAGAAAGGGGCAGAACGATGGTGCGACGGGCATGATCGTGAAGGTGGATGAGCACTTGGCCATTGTGCTGTCTGTCAGGCGCGCCAATGAGATTCAGCGGGGTACAGAGTGATGGACATGATCGTGAAGGTGGATGGGCGCATCGCCATCGTGCTGTCTGTCAGACACATCAAGGGAGCATGTGAGTCTGTGTGCTGGTTGGTGACCGATCGGTGATGGCAGCGTGACAGTACCGTTGTTGTAGGGCGATCGCAAGGCCAATGTGTGGTGCAAACAGGGCAGAACGGTGGCGTGACGGGCATGATCGTGAAGGTGGATGGGTGCATTGCAATTGTGCTGTCAGACACGTCTAGGGAGCACATGAGTGTTATGGCTACAGTACAGGGTTTTTGTTTTGAGGCGCCTCAAAACTGGATGAGCACAGCACATTGCAATTGTGCTGTCTGACACATCCCGAGAGCACATGAGTGTTATGGCTACTGTACAGGGTTTTTGCACAGTGAGTGATGGTAAGGCGGCAGATGGTGCATTGGGGGAGGCAGGAGCACAGGGTGACGGGCATGATCGTGACGGTGGATGGGCGCATCGCCATCGTGCTGTCAGACACGCCAATGAGATGCAGAGGGGTACAGAGCGATGGACATGATTGTGACGGTGGATGGGCGCATCGCCATCGTGCTGTCAGACACGCCAATGAGATGCAGAGGGGTACAGAGCGATGGACATGATTGTGAAGGTGGATGGGCGCATCGCCATCGTGCTGTCAGACACGCCAATGAGATGCAGAGGGGTACAGAGTGATGGACATGATTGTGAAGGTGGATGGGCGCATCGCCATCGTGCTGTCTGTCAGACACGTCAAGGGAGCATGTGAGTGTGCATGGCGGTTCTGGGGTGGCTGCAGGATGGTTTTTGGGGGGGTTGTAGTCGGAACAATATGCAAGTGCACGAAGCGATTTAAGGGCTACACAGCTTCGAATGAGCCAGAGCTGTGTGCCATTTGTAGCATAGCATGTTAGTCCCATGCGCTTTTCCCCGGTCTCCCTTGCACAGGTACGGGTGTTCACACGGGATCTCATGTCAAGTTCAGAGGTGACTGCTGGGAATGGCTTTGCTTGTCGTACCTTTCATTCTTGCCTGCTTCTCGTCCCTCCCCCCTTCCCCTCCCCGCGCAGGTCCGGGTGTTCACACGGGATCTCATGTCAAGTTCAGAGGTGACGGCGGGTCCCTCTCAAATTGGTGACTACGAACTACATGACCTGGTCCTGCTCGAGTGAGTAGAGGGAAAAGGGAAACGGGTGCCACTAGATTGACGAAAAGGGAGGACCTTGTGCTGTCTTTGCATGACTTATTAGGGCTGTTGACTTGCCTCTTCAAGCCCTCTCTGTGCAAGTCAACCCCGTCAACCCTTCTTTCTGAACCATCCTCCTATCCATCCGCTCCCCCCCCCGGCCAAACCATGGCAGGCGTGATAGTGAAGGTCGAGAAAACAGGTTGTGTGGTCCTCAAGGCAACCCCAGAGCGCAGCGAAACCGTAGCGGTTAAGCTGCGAGCACAAGATGAACAAGCGGCACAAGATGAACAAGCGGCACAAGATGAACAAGCGGCACGTGTCGGCACACGATGCAGAAGGGCTCCCTGTAGTGGCAAAGGACCCAGTGCGCGTGGTGGACGGGACCTACCGCGACCGCTGTTCTGGGGACTGGTGCGGAGGGGCTTCCCTGTAAACCTTCCTATCAAACCAACCCTCATCCATCCCCTCCCCCGTCCCAGCCAAACCACGGCAGGTGTGATCGTCAAAGTGGAGAAAACCGGCTGTGTGGTGCTCAAGGCGACGCCCGAGCGCAGCGAAACCGTAGCGGTGAAACTGCAAGAGATCCGGCGCAAGATGAACAACAAGAACGTGTCGGCTCACGACGGAGAGGGCCTGCCGGTGGTGGCCAAGGACCCGGTGTGCGTGGTGGAGGGCACTTACTCAACCCACGCCTTTCTCCCCCATCCCTGCATTCCCCTCCAGCCAAACCACGGCAGGCGTGATTGTTAAAGTGGAGAAGACGGGCTGCGTGGTGCTCAAAGCCACACCCGAGCGCAGCGAGACGGTGGCCGTGAAACTGCGAGAGATCCGGCGCAAGATGAACAACAAGAACGTGTCGGCTCACGACGTGGAGGGCCTGCCGGTGGTGGCCAAGGACCCGGTGTGCGTGGTGGAGGGCACTTACTCAACCCACGCCTTTCTCCCCCATCCCTGCATTCCCCTCCAGCCAAACCACGGCAGGCGTGATTGTTAAAGTGGAGAAGACGGGCTGCGTGGTGCTCAAAGCCACACCCGAGCGCAGCGAGACGGTGGCCGTGAAACTGCGAGAGATCCGGCGCAAGATGAACAACAAGAACGTGTCGGCTCACGACGGAGAGGGCCTGCAGGTGGTGGCCAAGGACCCGGTGTGCGTGGTGGAGGGCACTTACTCAACCCACGCCTTTCTCCCCCATCCCTGCATTCCCCTCCAGCCAAACCACGGCAGGCGTGATTGTTAAAGTGGAGAAGACGGGCTGCGTGGTGCTCAAAGCCACACCCGAGCGCAGCGAGACGGTGGCCGTGAAACTGCGAGAGATCCGGCGCAAGATGAACAACAAGAACGTGTCGGCTCACGACGTGGAGGGCCTGCCGGTGGTGGCCAAGGACCCGGTGCGCGTGGTGGAGGGGGCTTACAGGGACCGGCGCGGCACGGTGGAGCACATCCACCGCGGCGTGCTCTTTGTGTTCGACCGCCACTACTTGGAGAATGGGGGCTTTTTTTGTGTTCGCGCGCGGTCGGTTCGGTGCCTGACTGCCAAGGCTGCTGCTGCCACCAGGGTGAGTTGGGGTGGATGTGCGCCGGGTTGGTGGAAGCAGGGAGTGTTGTCGGATAGCTCTTTGCGTTCGACCACCAGCATGTGGGGAACGACGGCTTTTTCTGTGTCCGGGCTTGGTCCGCGTGCGATGCCTGACCACCAAGGCTCATCCCGCTCCCCCCATTCTTTTCAAACATCCATCTCCCCTAACCACAGCGCAACTCGGCCGGTGGTGATGGTGATGGTGGAGGCGGAGCCATGACACTGTTTGATCGGCGGTTTGGAGGAGCAATGCAGTCGCCCTCGCGCTTCCTGCAGTCATATGGTCGACTCATCCCCCTCCTTCTCTGGATTGCCTCACCCCCTCTTATCACAGCGCAATTCGGCTGGTGGTGGTGGAGGCGGAGGAGAGGCCATGGCACCATTCGACCGGCGGTTCAGATGAGCAATGCAGTCGCCCTCGCGCTTCCTGCTGGTATGGTGGACTAATCCTCTTCCCCCGTCGCGTTCATACATCCTTCGCCCCTTCCCACAGCGCAATTCAGCAGGTGGAGGAGGAGGAGGCGGAGCCATGGCACCATTCGACCGGCGGTTTGGTGGAGTGATGCAGTCGCCCTCGCGCTTCCTGCAGTCACCCAGGAACTTCCCCGGCAGCCCCAGCAGACAAGGCGGCGGCAGAGGAGGCCCTCCGCCGGGTGAGTAGCACGGTTGGGCTGGGTTGGGCTGGGTCGAGTTGAGATAGGAGGGTTCATCCAGTCGCCATCTTGCTTCCTGCAGTCCCCGAGGAACTTCCCCGGCAGCTGCAGCAGACAAGGTGGTGGCAGAGGAGGCGGGCCCCTGCCGGGTGAGTTGAAAGAGAAGGGTTTAGTGTGGTGATGCAGTCACTGTCGGCCTGTCGCGCTTCCTGCAGTCCCCGAGGAACTTCCCCGGCAGCCCCAGCAGACAAGGCGGCGGCAGAGGAGGCCCTCCGCCAGGTAAGCACCTGGACTTCACCGCACAGGTTGAGTTTGGTTGGGCTGGGCTGGGCTGGGTTGGGCTGGGTTGGGTTCAGTTGAGTTGGGTTCGGTTGGGATGGATCAGTTTTTGCAGCAGTTTGGCTTAACGAACTCAATATCCTGTCTCTTTTCCCACTCCCCCCCCCCCCCCCCCCCCGTCTTGCATCCCCCCTTGTCTCGGTTTAACCCCACCCCCCTTCTCCTACCCACGTTCTCTCTTTACCCCACTTCCCTGCACTGCTTCCTGCCGCTTTCTTCCCATGCCTGCTCTTCTCTCTCCTCCCTTCTCCTCCTCCCTTCCCCTCCCTTTCCCCCTCCCCTTCCCCTTCCCCATCCTCCCTCCCTCCCCCCTTCCCCCTCCCCCTCAGGCGCGTATGGAGGAGGGCGGATGGGGAACAGGCGGGAGAGTGGCATGGTGGGGCGCATTGTGAAGATCCGAGCGGGGCCTTATAAGGGGTACAGAGGCCGGGTGCTCGATGCCACTGACACCACGGCACGGATCGAGCTCGAGTCGCAGATGAAAGTCGTCACAGGTGCGTTGTAATGTGTCGCACTGTAAAGATGTGCTGGGGGCCTTATAAGGGGTACAGAGGCCGGGTGCTCGATGCCACTGACACCACGGCACGAATCGAGCTTGAGTCGCAGATGAAAGTCGTTACAGGTGTGTTACACCTTGTTGCAGGAGTAGTTACAAGTTACAAGTGTGCTACACTTTGCCGCAGTGCGGCTAGGAGTATGTCCTTGTCCGCAGTGCCGGCAGTGCGGACGTAATTTTGCGAGATACCTAGTGCCTGCGTAGTGGCCCAGTGCCTACTACTGCCTGCCTAGTGGCCGGAGTCCTGTGTCTGACCTGCTCGATCAACCTTGGTTGTTCTGTTTGTTCGTCTGTGGGATGTGTGCATGCATGTATGCCGGTTTGTCATTTTATGGTTCTGTGTGTGTATGGTGGACTGCGTGGTGGTGTGTGGTGGTATGCGGTGGTGCAGTGCGGAGGGATCAACTACCTGATGGAGCACCAGCAGCCGGACAGCAGCAGCAATCACCCGCACCATACAGGTGTGCGCATTTCTCGGGGGAGGGGCGGGGAACAGGGGGGAGTTGAGGAGTGGGGGAACGGGGGTTGGGCAATGCTTTTGAAAATTCTCAACAGAGATTCTTGTGTGGGGGGGGGGGGGGGAGGTGGGGATGTGACTCATCTTAAAAACAAGTCACTCGGCAGTGATAGGGATGAGCAAAGGGCGAACACGAACATGTTCGTCTTCGCCCCTTGTCGAACACCCTCTTTTGCCGAACCGAACACTGTTCGGTTCGGCGAACAGTTTAGGAAAAAACAGGTGTTCGCTGTTCGCCTGTGGAGGCGTGTTCGGGCGAACCTCGAACACTGTTCGTGTTCGTCGCGGGCAAATTTCAGCAGCGGCCCGAACACGAACGTGTTCGGGCGAACATCGAACACTGTTCGGCGAACGATTTGAGCTAATAAACAAAACCTGTTCGGTTCGCCTCGAACGTGTTCGAGGCGAACCGAACAGGTGTTCGCCACCTTGCTCATCCCTAGGCAGTGACACGCCCGTTCATTCATCTGTACCCAAGCTTCTACTCCTCAAAAGTGTCACTACTCTCCGCGTTCCTCCTGGACTCATTGCCTCCCTCCTTCGCATTGACTGTTTCTCCTCCGTCCAGGGAGTCACCGCGTTTCAGAGGGTCCCTGGGCAGCGAAACGCCTGTGCATCCTTCACGCACGCCCATGCACCCAGGCTTTGGCGGCAGGGGATTCGATCCCTCTGGTATGAAATGCTTATTCATTCCTTCACTAGTCCTTAGGCCCTCCGAGATGGCTGGTTCTTGTACTCTCTCGTATTTGAATGCAGTTCAAGCCTGTAGGTTAGTAAGAGCAAGTGCTCACCGATCCACTTGTTGAGAATTTACATATCTGGCCACCAATCCTCCACACGACCTATTGCCTCCTCGCTTCCCCCCCACCTCTCCCCATTTCCTCTTCCCCTTCCTCTCCTAGCTACTCAGTCAGCACCCTCAGTAGCTACTCAGTCAGCACCCTCAGTAGCTACTCAGTCAGCACCCTCAGTAGCTACTCAGTCAGCACCCTCAGTAGCTACTCAGTCAGCACCCTCTTGCCACATCTCGTTTCCCCCTTCCCTCTTTTCCTGTGCGTCACGCAGCCACGCCAGTGCATGAGGGCATGCGCACGCCCATGCGAGACAGGGCCTGGAACCCTCATGTGCCCACCACTCCTCTCAGGTTCGTATCCCGCTTTTTGTCCTTCTCCAGGTGTCATTTCAGGTGCATATCAATCTCTGGAATCTTCCATGTCATGCTATTCTATGCCGAGCCTTGCCATACCATGCTACCATGCAGTGCCATGCCATGCCACTCTCACAGCACCTACCCACTTTCATAGAGGTGAGGTTTGAGGTGAGACCCTCAAAACTCATCTTTCCTCCCCTATGTCTGCTCGCCACCAGGCCCGATTCGTTTGACGAGGCGTATCCATCCATGTCGGGCTCATCAGGCAGCGATGCTCCCTTCCTGCCCTACACGCCTGCCTTCTCAAGTTTGATTTGACTCAAACCTCATCTCGCCTCCCCTGCATGTGCATGTGCTGTGCTGTGCTCCCCATCAGGCCCGATTCGTTCGATGAGGCGAATCCATCCACATGGGGTTCATCAGGCAGCGATGCTCCCTTCCTGCCCTACACGCCTGCCTTCTCAAGTTTGATTTGACTCAAACCTCATCTCGCCTCCCCTGCGTGTGCTGTGCTGTGCTCCCCATCAGGCCCGATTCGTTCGACGAGGCGAATCCATCCACATGGGGTTCATCGGGCAGCGATGCTCCCTTCCTGCCCTACACGCCCGCCTTCTCACCCGCCGACATTGCCCCCTCGCCGCCGCTCCCTGTTGACGATGTAAGTGATGAACTATGAATGCATACGTTCACATATGTCGCATGTAAAACACTCAGCACTGTCTTTCACCCCAGTAGATGCAGCTTTGAAACCCAAACTCAGCATCTCGCTTCCGGCACATTCGCCGCCGCTTTCTGTGCAAGGTATACGTGTCGAACAATCTAGGACATAAACAGACCTTTGACCCCAGTGGGGGTCAACTGTAGGCAATTATATATGAGGCGTACACACACGCTCAACACCCTTGACAGTTGTTTGTAACATATCACATCTAGCCCAGCACCACCCCTTCTTGATAGTTCTGTCCTTTCAGCTATGCACTGGGGGGATCTACGCACAGCCTTTGACATCCCTACTCCTGGAAAGCCCTTTCCACCCTTCTCCCTCCCTTCCCTCATGCTAACCTATACCCTTTTTTTTTCCTCCCTGGCCCATCTCCCCCAACCATGTTGATTCCTTACCGTTCAGCCCGGCACTCCAAGCGATCTGCGCTCGGCCTTTGACATTCCCACACCTGGCAGCCAAGCAGGACCCAACTACAACCCCTCCACACCCTATGGTTACCCCCTTCTTCCCCCCTTGCTCTCTCTCTAACATCTTCCAACCCCTCCTTATCCTCTTCCACCACTCAACGAATCACATTACCTCCCCCTCCTCCCTCGCCACCTCACACTTGTGCCTTACTCACGGTATCCTTCTGCAATTCCCCCTTATTTACTTTCTTCAATTCGTTTTCTATCTCAGCCAAAGGTTCTTATGTTGATCAACTTTCCTGACTGGGATTACTTCCATCCACTGTGATTCCACGTCCATGTGTTACCCGGTTACCACCAGGCGAGGCGCCGAGCCCGTACGCGGCGCAGACGCCCACAGGCCAGCCTCTCACGCCCTCTGCTGCCTACATTCCTGCCACCCCTGCTGACTCTTCCCTGCCCATGACCCCTGCTGACCCCAACTCGCCCGCCATTGGTCAGTTTCTGCCCGTCTCACCCATTCGCTAAGTGCCTCCTGCCTTTATGTACTTGCTTTCTCCGAAGCTGCATCTTGTTGGCCTTAGCTTCATTTTCCTATCCCATCCTCTGACATTCTACACCACCTCTTTTGATTTTCTACAAGTTTACATGCTCAACTTTCTTGGTCTCCCCTTGTCTCAAACATTTTTCCTTTTGGCCCCTTGCCGAACCTACCGGTATCTGTGTCTCCACCATACCTGCCGCACAGGCATGGGAGGGGGATTCAGCAATGGAGGGGAGGGGGGGTCGCTGGGGCTGCCGGGAGTGCTGGTGATGGTGCGACGACCGGGGGGGCCTGGAATGACCACAGTCGTGATTCGAGAAGTGCTGCCGGTGAGTGTAATTGCGTTCCCTACAAATGAATGTAGCTGCCTGAAATGTAAGTGTATATTCGTGTAATGTGAGTGTCCCTGCTTTCTTTTCGCCATTTGCTTGAAGGTGGTTGGCTTTCTCTACTTGCCGCCTCGCTCTCTCTTTTTTGAACTACCCAACCCACTATGTGCAATCTGTCTGCCACCCGCCTTACCGTCCATCTTGTCTTGTCCTCTTCTCACAGGACGGTTCATGCCGCGTTGGCGCAAGCAACGCGTCCGAGTCAGAGCTCTTTATAGTAGGTCCCTCGGAGATGGATATAGTGTTACCGCGCTCGCACGACCGTGTGAAGATTCTGCGGGGCCCATTAAGAGGCGCTGTGGGGAAGTTGATGGGAGTGGATGCAGCCGAAGGGATTGTCAAGGTGGATGGCGAGCCTGATGTGAAGACGATTGAGATCACTGGCTTAGGAAAGCTTGTGCACTGATTGTACTACCGATTAAGTGTAGCCATGTTTGCTCAGAGTATAATAGGCTGAAAAAAATTGTTTGCTGTTGGTGTTTTCAACTGAGGGCTTGAATTACCATTTTTCTTGCAGCTTATGTCCTCACGCATAGGAAGGTTAAGGAGCCGGTTGTTTCGTACCAGCTTGTTAGCGGATATCGGGTGATACTATATACTGTATTTTTTCAAACTGCGTGTGTGTTTGTGTTCGTTCGTGTGTCTAATTGCGAAGCACCATTCAATTCACTGCCGACACTTAGTCTTTGGGAGGGAGATGGAAATAACAGGTGGTGCTATGAGGGAGAGTGGCACCGTGCACGTGTCGCTCCGCTCGTCGAGTCGCATGTTCCAAACTCCGCAGCAACATGCGTGCTGCGGCGATAACCTCGGCGAGCCGCTTTTTCGTCTTGCGGTTCGAATCATCGAGGTTTGCAGGTCGAGGTCAGAGCACGGGGAAACGCGAGAGTGGTGTCCTCAGCACGGGTTGTGGATTCCATTTAGTACTACGGCGACTACTATTTGGCTTAAGGTCTTTATAGGTCGCGGTATCTGGTCTTTCTTGTTTCTGAGGTCGACTCAGGGCTTTCTACTTCCCAATATCCCTTCATCGACATTGTCGAGACCAGGTCTGTCGACTAGTCTCTCGATAAGGCGAAGGCAGTACGCGCGGAAGCATGGCTCCGAAGACGCACGCGAAGCCCGCGGAGAGCGACGCGCAGCAGCTGAAGACGAAGCTCGAGACCGAGCCGCTGAGCAAGAGCCTCACCGGCACCGTCATTCCCGATGAAACCTCCTTCAACATCGAGGTACCTGTGCCGTGGAAGCTTTGCTTCCGTTATTTAAGTTCACACTGCAGAATCCGATCCTCATGATGTTGATCGTGGGAAAGTATGGACTTGGTTAGTATCCGACCCGCGTCTTGCTCTGCGTTTATTCCCTAAGGCAGGCGGAGATTAAGAGCCTGGGCGGGCTGGAGGTGCTGATTCCAGGGAAGCTGGAGCCAACGCTGATTCGTCAGCATCTGGACGAGTCGCTCCTCAAGGCCTTCAACTGCGCTTGCAAGTAGGTGTAGCTTTATGATACACTGTTGGTTTTTTTTTTTTTTTTTTTTTGTTCTATACTTCCTTAGATTTTTTTGTGGCTGTGTTCTCGCATTACTGCAGCAGTGTGTGTGCTTCCTCTTATTTTCTTGGGCTTCGAATCTTCACACAGCCAGAGAAACATTCGCCTGACACTCCAGTTGCCGCGCCAGGCTGATTGGCAAGCGATTCTACTTCTTCTTCTTCCTTGCTACCCTGCCAATGTGAATTTGTTATCCGTCCATGCTACAGTGTACACCTGTCAACATCGTACGCCTATCAGGCGCTCGCCCTCTACTGTGGCAAGGACTCGGTGGCTCTTAGAGGATTCGGCAAGTTCTTCTGGAAACGCTCTCTGGAGGAGCAGATGACGTTCAAGGACATTACCGCCTTTGTGGTACGCACCTTCTATATCCTCCCTCTTTCATCCTCCGCTTGTTCTCTCTCTTTCTCCCTCCCCCCCTTTCCAAATTATCCCTTCCCCCCCGCGCTCGGCCCTGCCCTCTTCCTCTCTTCCTCCGTCTTCTCTCTGCATTCACCGTTTGTCTAGTCAATTCTGATGCTCAGTTTCTTTTTCCTGTTTCCATCCTTTGCTGTATGCCTGCTGGTGGTGATGCCAGAGTGGGCGTGGAGGGAGCCTCATGCTGCGGGACATCAAGGCTCCACCTCAGTCCTTCCACGACCCTGAAAGGGGTGATGCGCTAACGGGTACGCACTTATATCCCTTGGAAGATAAGGGCAAATGAATAGCCATTTCAGTCACAATGCTGTTTCTTCGTGGCCAATCGCGTCTTGCTGTTTTTTATTTCATCTTTTATGGAGGCATATGCTTTTCTCCCTTGATTGAATCATTTCTGCCCGTGCAACGGAGGTTAATGGGTTACCCTTTATGTATGTGGCAGTTGCTGAGTTTGACCTGGCTCTGGGCAAAGTGGCGTATGAGAAGGACCTCAACCTCCACAAGGTGAGCATTGGGAAGGAGAGTGTTTCTGAATGTTGGTCAATTCCATGACAGGACATTACACCTGATGTTCCACTGATCTGTACTTACTGTGATTTCGTATGTGTGTCTGTGTATCGTCATCCCTTTGGTTGGCAATGGTGGTGGTAACAAATGTTTTTAACCTTCCTGTTCCTCTCGTCTCATCCAGGCAGCAGAGATGTCGGGGGATGCTGGAGCGCAGAACTTTATCGAGAATCACCTGCTCAAGCCAGCGGTAAAACCCGAATTCCAGCTTTGCCAGCCCCCCCCCAATCACCTATTTACCCCAAATGAAGCTAAATGTATATCGTTCTCGTACTTCTTAAAACGTGTCTTCAATGATGAGGAGTGAGCCGTAACCACAGAAACGATTCTTTTGTGTGGGTCCATGATGCTTCTGACAGGTGCTGGCGCTGCAGCGTTGTGCACGCTATGTGACTCAGATCAGGCGTGTGGGCAAGGGAACAGGTAAGTCCAGAGGCCATTTCTTCTCCTTTGCCATTGCTCCATTGGGAATTATTTCTGCCCTTGTTTGTAGCGGACATGAAGGGGGGAGGGGGTTGTAAGCATTGGCTTGATTTGACTTCTGACTACGTTGCGCCTTTTTCCTGCTGCAGGGGAGTACCAGATGGATCATCACATGCTCATGGGGGTGGATGTTGGAGAACTCACCGTGGGACAGGTCAGAACCCACAGTTCATATGCACTGATGGTCATTACCCACAGTTCTTATGTATTTCCAATTCCTGTTTTCCCAGTCGTTGTGACTGTTTGATTAGCTGTATGTTTGTTCGGATATCTAGTTATGCGAACGACTGAGATAACTACCTGCATGGTCCCAGTCGTTGTGACTGTTTGATTAGCTGTATATTTGTTCGGATATCTAGTTATGCGAACGACTGAGATAACTACCTGCATGGTCGTCGTTCCAGGTTCTTGATCCAATGACTGAGCGCATGTCGGTGCACATGCAGCCACCTACCAAGCGTGCCCGTACAGCAGCTAATGGCATTGTGGGTTTGCTTTCATCCGAGGATTGATAGGCTTCTCACGATGTGGGTTTTTTTAGCTTCCATTCCATTCTCACGAGTGGGGAACCTTGTTCCAAAACTCCTAGCAGAGCCGATGCTGTTATCTTAGATTGCTGATGTGCATTTTTTTAGCAACATATGCTGTCTGTGTCCGGAAAGTGTGTACATATTGTAAGTGTTACGGGTGCAATGAATCGAAGTAGCGAGAACAAAATGTGAGCGAAGGCATGAGCGAACATTTATACGCGAAACATGCAAACGGTAACGCGATGCGTGCGAGCTAGCTAATGCTATGCTGGAAGCGAGGCTCGGGCTAGTCCCGAAGCGTAGGCCGACACGGCCAGGCCAGCAGTGCGAGGTTTGGTGAAACAGTGCGCACGAAGTCGGCGAAGCCCCGTTAGCAGTAACGGGCGAACAACGGCTGCTGCTGTACGCGATGTTGCAGGGTGCGCTAAGGAATATCGAGAAAATTCCTTACAGTAAGATGTTAATGTTTCTAAATGTGTAGAGTAGCTGCTCATACAGTTTTATTGATTGTGGCTGATGCTCCAATGCACGGTACCGTTGATGCAGCGTTGCATTCACCGCCCAAACTGTCGCCCACTCCGTAGTGAAAACTGGTTCCGACAAGGTGGAAACGTGATCCCATGTGATTCAGAGAGTCACACTCGCAGCCACGAAGAAAGTTGAAAATCTGGGCTGGTCCTGAAACAAACTTGTACACCTGACCGCCGTTTTTTTTTTTTTTTTTTTTTTTTTTTTTTTTTTTTTTTTTTTTTTTTTGGGTTGCGAAGCAACCTATTACAATCGTTGTGTACAATTTTTTTTTTTCATCCTCTATGTTTATAGAAGATGAAGAAAAAATGTTCTGGACAATATACTAAGTGACTAATAGATATTTGCCATGGTACTATATGGATGAAATGCATTACCATGGCCACGAATACACCTATTTCTGTGAATTCGTGGCTGTTAATTCTGTAATGCATAGGTGATATTCTGTTATGCATTAATGAAGAAGCTTGCGTGCATGTACCGGTACGCATAATATAGAATGCATAATGCATGAATACTGTATGATGCATATGCTGCAGTGATGCATACTAAATACGTACTTCTGTAGACCATACCTGTGTATAGTGAAATGAATGCATACGGTAATGATGGAAATGCGTGAAAGTTGAGTGACCCATTCACTAGGCTACCGCATCCCCTGCCTAGCATGGGGGGGAAGTCAATAGCCTAATATTTGTGTCAAATATTATAGCCTGTAGTGGGTTGGGCTATATGGGGTACAACTAGTTAGGGTTAGGTGATGTACCCCAATTCTGTCAACACAACGCATTCGGCTGTAGTTCTCATTCTGACATGGTATCAGCAGTAGGTTAGCGCTCCTAGTCCTAGGCCCGCCCTTCCCTACCACTAGGGTTACCACTGCACCCTGCCAGCCCGCCAGCGCCCTACCCCACGCCCCAGCCGGCGCGCCCCTCCCCTCCCTGCCCTTAGCCAGCGCGCCCGCCAGCCAGCCAGCGCGCCAGCCAGCCAGCGCGCCAGCAGCCTGCGCGCCAGCCAGCCAGCTTGCGCGCCAGCCAGCCAGCGCGCCAGCAGCCTGCGCGCCAGCCAGCCAACGCGCCAGCCCGCCAGCGCGCCAGCCAGCCAGCGCGCCAGCCCGCCAGCGCGCCAGCCAGCCAGCGCGCCAGCGCGCCAGCCCGCTTGCACGCCAGCCCGCCAGCGCGCCCGCCAGCGGGCGCACCAGCGAGCCCGCCGGCTCGCCTGCCAGCGCGCCCGCCAGCGAGCTCGCCAGCGCGCCCGCCAGCACGCACGCCAGCGCGCCCGCTAGCGCGCCCGCCAGCGCGCCACGCCAGCGGGCCCCGCCAGCGCGCACGCCAGCGCGCCGCGCCCGCCAGCGCGCGCCCTGCTTAGCCGCCCGCCAGCGCGCCGCGCCCGCGCGCCACGCCAGCCAGCGCGCCGCGCCCGCACGCCACGTCAGCCAGCGCGCCGCGCCGGAGCGCGCCCCGCCAGCGCGCGCCCCGCCGCCCCGCGCCCAGCCAGTGCGCGCCCCGCGTGCGCGCACCCGCCTCGCACTCACCTCCCTCTCCTCCTCCTCTCGCGGCTGGCGGCCGCTATCACTTGTCCTCGCCCCTCATGGCGACGTCTCGCGTGCTCCGTTTCGACCCTGAGGGGCGTGCGATCGACTTTAGTACTTGGCTGACGCAGGCCCAGCGCCACCTTAGGAGCCAGCGCCAGGATGGCGTGCACCTGTTTGCGCATGCGTCCGGTGCTCTGCCCGCCCCGCCGCAGCCTTCACCGCTGCCCACTACCCCACCGCCTACTTCCGAGCAGGAGGCTGAGTACCAGCGCCGGTTCCTCGCTCGTGACGTGTGGGAGTCTCGTGACGCTGCTGCCTGCCTCGCCCTGACCGACCTTCTCCCGCCGACTGAGGCTGTCCACTTCACTCAAGTCGAGTCTGCTGCAGACCTTTACACTGCTATTGTTGCTCGCTACTCCACTCCCTCCTCTGCCTCCCTCAGCCGCCTCCTCGTCCCCTTTATCTACCCTGACCTCGCCTCCTTTGAGACTGTCGCTGACCTCGCTACCCACCTGCGCTCCCTTGAAGCTCGCTTCAAGGCCGCTTGCACTGAGGAACAGCTTGCCCTTGCACCCCCCCCCATGTGGCTCACTATTCACTGGTTAGTCACTCGCCTCCCTGACCGACTAGCCACAGCCCGCGACGCGCTTCTCCTGAAGCACCCCACTGAGCTTACTATCGATCTTCTTGAGACCGCTCTCTCGAAGATCGAGATTAGCCTCCTCGCTGTTGCCTCCGCCTCTTCCGCGCCTCCTCCTCGTCTCTTTGAGGGGTGTGCGGTACCACAGCTTCCCACCTTCACTGCCTCGCTTGCCACTGCCGCGTCTTCTGCCTCTGAGGAGACGGCGGCCGTTTCTGTCTCTGGCGGACAGAAACGTGGCAAGTCCGGCAAGAAGGGAGGGAAGGGCGGCGGGGATTCTGGGGGTGTTGCGGGTGGCGGTAGTACTAGTGGCGGGGGTGGCGGCGGGGGTGACTCGGGACCTGACGGCTCTCCTCTAGACGGTGGTGAGGGGTTTTCGCAGCAGCAGCAGTAGACTCCTCCGCAGCTGCCACCGCCTGGACAGCAGCAGCGGCAGGGACAGCAGGAGCAGCGCCAGGGCCAACAGCAGCGTCCGCCTCAGCAGCAGCCCCAGCAGTGGGGCACTCTGCAGCAGTGGGGCACTCAGCACCAGTGGGGCCCTTCGCAGCAGTGGGCCCCCCCGCAGCAGTGGAGACCTACGGGCCCCCCGAGCACTGGGCGCAGTGGTGCCCCTTCTAGTCGGGGACCCCGCTCGGCCGGCCGCGACGTTGGTCCCTGTGAGTACTGGATCCTGACGGGTCCGCGCAGGGGCACGTACTGCGGCCGCCCTGACCACTCTGCTGCACGCTGCTTCAGTCGTCTTGACGACCTGTACGTCCTGCACCACGGTCCCTCCGCTCCCCCGCCACCGCGCTGGGGACCACTCCTT